AGACAGACTGAGTCCCTGCCTGGGGTCTCTTGTCCACCTGCCCTCCGGCGCTGCACTCCAGAATCCTCTCCACAAACTCTCTGGTCCGACCGGCCACCAGGGGACCTGTGGGGATAAACACGGTGAGAGAACGCCGACCCTGGGAAAGCGTCCGAGCAGCTATGGCACGTTCCCAACGTGAACGTAAACATTTATGCATTAGGCTTCAGATAACCGACCGAGACAACCACTGATATGCACACAGCTGAAGGTATCTACGGGGGCCTTGCTCACCAGCAGACTCCTTCAGAATGTCCTCCAGCTTCTTCGTCATGCCCACGTCGCCGCACTCGTCGCTGCTCTCCACCCTCTGCCGTATCACCTCCTTGATCCTCAACAGCGCCCCCAACAGGTTGTCTACCCACAAAAAAAAATAAATAAAATAATAGGTAGGTGGTGGATTAATGGGGTTCTCTTCACACCACAGGGACCTTCATGCTGCACCCACGATATTAACTCCACCATCACCACTAACGTCAGGTGAGTGCTGTTACTGTAGATGCCGCCTGAGGACAGATTTGGGCATTCCCCGTTGGCTGAAGGGATTAATCCTCCAGATGAACTAGGATCACAACAGGCCTCGGGGACAAGCGGCACGTCAAAGCTTTCACCGTATTAAATTTCTTATCCCTCAACCTGAACCGCCCCCCCCCCTTCCCCCAGGACACACTGAAAGCCACAGCTGACAGAGGTGCGGATCCACTCACTGTACTCCTGGTTCAGTCCCCATAGCTTGATCTTGTTGGCCTCGTGCTGGGCTTTCTTCTTTAGGCGGCAAGCCCTGCAAGGAGCCCAGAAAGAAACGATGGAGATCCACATTCACCCCACGTCCCACTGTCCTCAGATGAACTTCTACCCAATTATACAGGGCTCTGGGGAATCTCTGTGTGTCTGGTCTTCATCCCAGCTCTCAACATGGTACTGCGCTCTACACAAACCGTTTTCCAGAGATCGTTTCAACTGTCCTTTTCCACAGGAGGTCAGGGGATAAATTTTATAGTACTCCTACCCCCACGTTACCAGTCCCTTCTGGAAAGCATCACTCTATAAAGCAACGACTATAAATTTATTCTATTACTTAACTGGAGCGACTGTTTGGAGGACATCTTGAGTTTTAGATGTGAACCAGCTGCTGTCTAACGGATACCTCCAAGACCACTAGAGGCCAGTCCCAGACTGGTCACCCCGTCTGTCTCTCTCAGCATTTCGGTTTCGTCTCTTCTTTACGTCACAGCTCCTACCTGGAGGCTAGCTTGTTCTTCTCCTTGCGGGAGCGTGCTCGAGCCACCACGGGCAGATCATTGACGGGTCCCATGCCGTCTATGGCCACGTTCAGCTTCTGTAGCTGCTCGCCGATGCTGCACAGCTTCTGCGGGTTGGGGGTCAGGTCGCTGGCGTCCGTCTTACGGGCCTTGCGGCGCCCTTTCTTGCCTAAAGTGGCGGATGGGGATTTAGCCAGTTAATCTTTAAACTCTGCCATATAATTCATCAACCTGCAACTCACAGTCTACAAATATGGCTTCTAAGCGGTGAATTCCCGACCCAAAATCTTTGGGTTTCTACTGCAGTCACATGACTGAAGGCACTTTTTTTTTTTTTTTTTTTAAAAAAGAACCATATCCAGTGAACAGGATCTCTTCGCTCTTTTTTCCCCCATGTTTAGCAGCCTGATTTGTGTGCCTTGCAGATGTGTGAATACAGATTTTTCAGATCCGCAGCCATAGGCATGGATACCCTTAACACAGGGGTGCTACTGGGCATTTTGGGCTCCAGGACAGCATCTCAGACTGGGCCTCCAACCCAGATCAATCCAATTATGCTGTCAGTCAGGGGCCCTTGGAATCATCCTAACTGCCCCCATCCCCCCCCATGGCGCCCCTGCCTTAACGTGTTAATGACATTTCTGTGCCTCTCTATAAATAAATGTGTCAGGAAAACATCTCACTCAAGGCTGTGCAGAGTTTGAGTTCTGGTCGGGTTCTTTGGGTAAAATCTGGAGACGAAACTTTGGAACGGCAAATATTTAGATGTCTTTTTACATTCCCTTCATTCATATTTCAGGATGAAATAGAAGAATTATATTGTTTGCGCTCCCATCCTTGGTTAAAGTTCTGCTCTGAGAATCAATTTGCATTTTTGGCCACATAAACACAGCTCTGGCGTTACATACTTGACCGAGAACCAGAAGAAAATGCCGGCACCAGGCACCAGGCAGCACCAAACATTCCACCATGCGTGCAAAGGTCGTCCGAGGAAGCCTAACCGTTGCCGGACGTCCCGTCTCTCCGGTACAAGGTGCTGGGCAGGGTGCTGGAGCTCCAGGACAGCGGCCACCTCACCCCGACCCTCTTGCTCCCCAAGTCGCGCCCGTGGCTGTACTCCCAGAAGCACCTGCGCTTGGCCGGCCTCTCACCCGCGTGGCCGTCTGCAAACGTCAGAGCGCGGCCCGCGTGCGTCACGGCTCACTTTTTCCACAGTAACAGTCAGCGCACGTTTATCAGTGCACACGTGTGAACATCCGGCCCGGAGTTTCCATTACCCACATGCTGCTCTAATTGCTTTTAACGGGGAGGAAAACGGAGCCGGTGCTTCCACGTCCTGCGTAGCGAATTAAGACTGCGTGGAATATTCAAGAAGAACTCAGGGAAAGCTGAGCCAAGTATAAATTAGGAAAGAAAAAATCCCAGAGAACTGAGACTAAACTTATACACAAGTATTTATATATTCATATATTTATATATATATGTCTATAAATAGTCTCCACTGAAAGCCTAAACAGAATTGGACTTGAATTCAAGGCTGAGGTGCCGTCAGACCACGGCGGGGAGACGACGCGGCTCTCACCACATTCCGTTCCAGAGGAGCTCTGGTCGCCAGGCTCTGCTGTTCGTTCCTCTTCCTCCTCTTCCTCCTCCCCTTCCTCATCCTCAGTGTCTGCCGTCTCGCTGTCAGAGCCCTGGCTGGATCCGGAGCCCTGATCGGCCTGCAGTGAGTAGTTGTGCTCCTCACTGCGGAGCTCCAGGGCACTGGGAGACAGTGAGGCCGCGGCCTCTGGCTGCTGAAACACTTCCACTGGAGTGGCTTCAGTAACCGCCTGGCCCTGGGCATCTTCCTCTTCCCCTTCTTCCTCTTCCTCCACTGCCTCTGCAGCTGTACCCTCTAGTGTCAAAGTACTCTCCTGCCTGTCAGATGCGGGCGACTTGGAGAGGCTGGGCTCTGGGGTTGGATCAGGCTCATCCCGGACCCGAGTGCCCAACCCGGACCCCGCCTGCTTCTCCATGGATTCCTCCCTACTGCCCCACTTGCCGATCAGCATCACCTCCGAGCTTGCCAGCTCCCCCTCCAGGCTGCCTTTGGTGTAGCGCGTGATATCATCCAGCGCAGAAATGTCCCAGCGTTCGTGGTGCAGGTCTTCACCGAAGCCGTCGTCCACCAGGTCGCTCAGCAGCTCGAAGGCTCGTTTGCGGGGTGCTGCCGGGGACCCCAGCATCAGGACCACATTCTGCGAGGCAATGAGTCGTTACCATAGACAATTCAACAAAAACAATCCTACAATTATAAAAAGCCGTAACCCTTTCTTACATTATCTAACTGACGAAGGTCTATCCTTTACACTTTTAGGCACTTTTAAATTCCGCAGATGTCCTTGACCACCACACAACTGGTCAGGGCTGTGTAAAGCGATCTTTAACTTGATCTAAGTTTTACTCACCTCTATCTCTTACACTTTAACTTATGGGTTATTCACGCACAGATCAGCAGGTGGCTCCGCTCTCACCTGGTCGCAGTCGGTCCTGCCCCCCAGCGGAGACCCCGCTAAGGGGTACGGCGTGAGGAGGCACCGGTGGTTCCCATATGCCTCGCCAAATATCGGTTCCATCCCGTTCATGCCCGGCTGCAGACACAGGAAGGCAAAAACGGCCTTAATCCCCCCCTGCCGGAATCATTCCTCAAATAGCTACCGCTCTCGAAATAACTGCTTACTGTTCAAACTAGTCAATCACAGTTGGGCACAAAGATGGGGAAACAATGTTTCCTGTCAGTGTTCGGTTATACAGTACCTGGTTATAAACACAATGCCGTTCATGTCTACCATGGCAAATAAGAATGTAGACAGGCAGGAAGGGGCAGAGGAACCAACCTGAGGCATGCCCAACGCTTTGCTGGATGGAGGTTGTCACACCTTCAGCGGTCACGGGACGCCTCTTCCAAGCGAGACCACCAGCAGACCATTCAGGGCTCACACCACCTGTCACATGACAAGCCGCTAATTGCCGCTGCTTGATTACAACTATCAACTACATATAACTATGTTTGGCTGTATCCTCAATGTATTTCCACCACGCCATGCAGAATGAGGGGTTGCAGGTGTGGCTACTTCAACAAACACCCTGGCATCAGAAGAGCAGGGTGAAAGATGCTGAACCCATAAGCCAAAACGTTAGCAAGCAGTGCACCTTTGTCTGAAACCCCATAATTACATAAAAGGCTGACATATTGGGCCCACAGCTGTAAGTGGAACCAGGAGAGACATTCATTTTCAGAGGGGGTATTTCCACAAGAGCAAAAAAATTTGGCACCTCGCTGGAAGATCACCGGGGTTCGTTCTCGAGCGATTTGTTAACAACACCGAACGGCAATTCAGCCAGCACCCCATTCACGGGGCCCCTATGATTAAATACACACGGTGAGAATCTCATCTTGACTAACAGCCAGGGATTTACAAATGCATTTACCTCCATTAGCAAAAACACACAGACACATACACAAACGGCACTCGATTTCACGTGTGTGGCCTTCCTTTTATCAGCACGCGTGGAAAAAAAGGTTACAGATACTCAATATCTGCTTTAATTTGGCAAAATACGCAAAAACAGCAGCACAGTGAATTCAGGCTGGCCGCGGATCCTCGGCTCGCAATTTCAGTACCGTGAGGTCTAGGTGGACCGTTCAGCTGACATCCCCAGAGAGCTGCGGGGGAGGCTGCAAATTAAATTTCGGGATTCAAGAGGCAGTTTTGATAAACAGCAAAAAAAAAATTAAAATTAAAAAAAAAAAAAAAAAAACTGGAGTTAAGAGAAAGCGCCTTTCCGAGCAACAAAACGACATTCCTGGTTATAGCCGGCAATGTGACCCACGTCGGATTAAACTCGGGAGGGAAAAAAAGACAAATGGCACAGAAATTTCTTTATTGTCCACGACACCCGGGATAGAACCGATGGACCTGGAGCCGGACATGGCAGAGTTGTCAAATATAAAACAAGCCGTGCTGTCGGCTGAAGTCCGTGCTCATGGACGGCGTTTCTTTTTTGGTAAAAAATCCACCTAGACAGCGTCCGCTCCCCGGCACTGTCTAAATCGCGACAACAACAAAAAAGACATTTAATGCTCCTTTTGTTCTCTCTTTCCGAAGCACAAGAAAGAAATATGCATATATTGTTGTCCCCAACATCTCCCCCCGAAGTCCTGCCACAAAGTATTTCTCAAGGAAAACGTGAGATTTAAGGCAGAGTCGAATTATGGGGTTGATTTTTTGCTGGCCGGTGCCCTTACCTCATGGCAGCTTACCCATTCTGCTAGCCATCGAAGGCGGCCGATCATTCGCGAGGGGAGCTGCCCGAAAGGTGCGCAGATGTGTCCCACCTGACACTCGGACCCAAGCCTCTGAGCCCACTACTCCATCTACCGCACGACAGGCTGTCAAAGTTTCTGTTTATCCACTGTAAAAAAAGAAAAAGCCGCCGGGATACGATCGCGGATTTTTACCTTGTCTTCCAACTTGCGATATGTTTCATAATCGTCCGCAGAATTATAAACAAGTCGGGGAACCTCCGGTGCCCTCATCAATGATCCAGTCTGTCCCTATTACACTTCAAAGCAACACACCGGCAACAAATTATGCCGCGTACGTTACGTTACAAAATAAAATTTCGGCTGCAGCTGGAAGCACCGTCGGATGTCAATAATTTAGTGTCCATTCTTTCCCAAAGCCAGAATAACGGGTGGCGGTGAGGGCAAGTTAAATTAAAGAAAACGCAGACGACCTTCGGCCTTATTTCCAATGTGGTTGGCAAAATAAAAAAGGAGAGGACAGGCTAAGAAGGAAGTTACCCCTTTTCTTTCCCCCTTCTCGTCCTTTTCCACCTGTATGTGCGATCCGGCCAGATCTGGCAGTGACAGTTTTTACGCCGAAAGTTAAACAAACGAGTCGGAGAAATCGCACGCTTTCGGCTGAGCCGCCTTCCCCAAATTGCGATCGGTCCCCGACACTGTCTGCTACACACTCGCAAGAGCGATCAAAACTAATATTCGGCCGAAAAACAAGAAAAGAAAAAGCTCATGACGGCTGGCAACTTCTGTAAATTAAATAAGTAAGCTTAGCTACCTTATTCGGTGTCGTCGTGCTCCCCTTGAAAGAATTCTTCGGGCAAGTAAAGGGATACACAAATAGAAAATGTCTGCCTTGGCATCCAAATATGAATAATTGGGCAAAACCGAATACAATAAGGGTACGTTACAGATTACCAACACACAGCAAACAAATTATTTATCCCATATAAAGGAAGTTAGTTTTAAACAGCTGGTATTGAGCTGGTCCATAATTTATAAAAGGGAAATTAAAAATAAATATTAATTAAATAAATATCGGAACGCATGGCGTATCAGGGGATAAACCTGTCTGCAACGATAATACTTAAAATACAACGTGCACCATGCTTTCAGAGGGATACCATTTTGTGTTTTCTACTTGTAATCATCCTTAAGAAATGCACAGGAAAGTAGCTAACCCCCTTACGACAGACATGGTGTCGCCCGCATGACTCAGAATTAAAAGAAAAATTCTTTCTTGTTCGGCGAAATGGTAATATATTCAGTTACGGTGAGTTTACATGTTACTTTTTTTTGTTGAAAGCTTATTATTATTAATTTTTTACCGATTCAGAAAGCCAATGTATCACGCCGGGGAAAAGTCCGTATGTAAAATGGAAACTGTGTCAGCTGTAAACAGCACTGTGTTGGTGAAAAAGGGCAAATGAGTTCACGGCACTTGAAAACGGATATGGCTGAGAACGAGAAAATCCAACGTCAGTGGAAGGGTTCACGTGACCCGTCCCCCTACCCCGCCGGGGTCACCGTGGAGGATCTGGGGGCTTTTTTCGCCCGGTCCTGGGAGCAGCTGGCGAAGCGTGTCCCCCGCCCGCAGCCAGATGGGGCCACTTACGAAACCAGCCGCGGCCGGCGACGTCGCGCTGAAATCGGCACCAAACGTTACCTAAGAAAACCCCACAAATGGCTGGCGGCGTGTGCGTTTTTCTTCTTCTTCTTCCTATATTATTATTACTATTATTATTATGCATAAGAATAATGATAGTTATAATAATTTTAGAAACGCCCCCTCACACATTACCCCCCCTCGCCGTCACCACCCCCTCAATGATGCCCAAAGCACATGGAAACAAATGTGTGAGGATGTGTAAATGACATCAAACGGAACCACACGAATCTCCGCCGACCATCTCAGCCACGTGAGTTACTACTGCTGCAACACCGTAGCCTCGATTCAAGATTTTACTTAATGATTTGATAATATCCTTATTTTATGTTTTGTACATTACAAAAAATATTTCTATGTTTATACGTGCATAATTCATATTTATATGTGAATAAACAGACATCTCCAACATGTTATTTCATATATTTTTTGCGTTAATCATAAACGTATTAATTGTAACATATGTTTAAATTATTAGATTTGCCAAGATTAATTAATTACAGATTCAAATCTCGTGTGTTCCTTTTCCCACTTCACATACATCAAACTGATGACTCAAATAATGAGGGGCATTTGGGAAGCTGTGTAGACCAGTGTTTCTCAGCCCAGTTCTCAGGGACCCTCCGACTGCCCACATTTTTGCTCCCTCCCAGCTAGTCCACATTTTTGCTCCCTCCCAGCTAGTTCACATTTTTGTTCTACCGGGAGCTGGGAAGGAGCAAAAAAAAAAGAAAAAAGGACTATCTGGGGTCCCCGAGGGCTGGATTGAGAAACACTAGTACAGACCATTTCTTTTCTCTTGCCATGTGCACACAATGTATCATTGTTCATACAAACACACAGAAGACACCAGTGACCCTCCAATACCAGCTGGCCAATGATCCTGGCCATTGACTGTTCCTCAATAAAAACAACTCCTTACAAAATCGCAAAGACTTTTAGTGTTGGGCGTAGAACGTCGAATATAAGAGCTAAAAACAATCATTCTTTTTAAGGCGAGGAGGAATGTCAGGTGGAGGACACATGCCATACATCCGGCTGACACCGAATCTGATATAACACCTCTTACATAATGACCTAGATAGGCCTGGATGCATTCCATACTCATAAGTTCAGCTGCAGTTGTCTTTGCAGCAAAGCTAGTTTATGCTCACTAGATCCTGCACGTAAAAAAGCCAGTTCCAGAATGATATGCAGTATAGATACGCTGACAGAGACAGACACACAGCCATTATCCTTCATAAGGACAGCAGATGCCTGGGCGTCTTCATTTTCGTGTTAGAAACATCCAAAGTTTACATTTGCATAAAATGTTTTAACTTGAAAGGTTAAAACATCGCTGGGTCTCAAAAGCACACAGAGTCTCCGCGGCCCTGTCCACACTCACACGCAGAGCTGTAACGATAGCCGCCTCGGGGGAAAAGGCTATTCTCCTGCCCTTTTTTTATTTCCTACTGAAGACTGGCAAATTGTAAAGTCCAGGCACACTTTGATCTGGGTTTTAAGTTACCTTTCAGGCCCCTGCTAAAACAGAGATGGACCCACCTTGTCGTCATCCATTTGTGGCCCATCGCTGCCGTCCATGCAGGCTTGGACTCTCTGCGAATCTAGGGAGGTTCTTATTAACACAGATGGCATTTAATTTTAATGTTCCATTTCACCAGCTTTTTTTTTCGCTCTTAGGTCACTTGCATACCACTCAATCACACAGGGTCCCTCGCTCTTGTTTACAAATACTGGGCTTATCTTTCAATGACATAACCTCCCACTCTCACACACAGCAGAAAAGCAGAGAGAGAAAGTGGCACACATTCTGCTAACTGGGTCCCAGCGCGTTACGAGGCAAAGCCACTTGCCAGGAGGCGCATTTGGATACGAGGTGTTAGAATGACAGAGCCGTGCGCTAAGCTAACAGGCCTTTGATAACGCGAGCTCAATGCTCACTTTCAGCAGTGCGGGGCGATTACGTGATTATATAGGCTCGCTAACAAATAAAGGAGTATATAGAAATGAATTCAGGCCTAAAAAGATTATCCCTGACTTTTAATGTTAAATGTCAAACAAAATGTGCAATTTGTAACAGAACTAATATAGTTTGACATCGCATGTGAAGTCGCAGAGGGTGAAAGTCTTCACAACCCACTGCCGTGCCTCAGCGTCTGGTGTGATGATGCCACACTTCCTGTAGTGCGAAACGCGTTGTTCCGCAGCGCAAAAGGCACGGCGAAAGGAAGGAGAGGCGAGACACACAGAATGACATCTGAGCCTGGAGCTTTCTACGCGTCCCGAGCTTTATTCAATGGTTTCAGAAGGACAGGGAAATGACGGAAACATCTAGTTATCGAGCATGCACGTCGGCCCCTAAAGCCACCGCCCGTGCTCCGTTATACACGTGCCAAAATTTCTCCATGTCAGGGGAAGGTACACGGTGAACACAGCCGGCACTGTAAGCCATAAGATGGGACACAGGTGACAAGTGCCTTAGACTGTGAACAGTAAAGGTTCAAGTCTTGGGAGAGGAACTGCTGATGTACCTTTGGTGAAATAGCCTGAACGCTGAAAGTACATGCAGTTCTGGACAAAGGCATTAAATAAAAAAACATAAAGAAATAGCAATCACTGATCATTTTAGCCCATAAGCACTGATGACATCACTGCGTTTACAGTTCAATAAAGCAACTAGCCAGTCTCTCTCTCTCTCTCTCTCTCTCACACACACACACACACACTCTAGTCAGTATACTACTGTATATGCCTCTAGCCCTAGTAATAGCATGCAAACAAAGATGGAAAGCGTCTCTGGTGGTTAGCCTTTCCAGCAACACTGTAGTCAAACACGCTAAACACTGTTTACAACGACGTGTTTGGATGACAGTAAGGACTGCGCAGCTTTAAGTGACTGTTGGGTTCACCATGGAAACGGGTTTTGGTTAAGTACCCTTCAGGGAAATGGGAGATAAGCGTCTTGCAGTGGAAACACAGAGATGGCTTTGTGAAGTAGGCCTTATTGTCCTCTTATAGATTCTATGACCGGCACTGAATCCTCTTGACTGCGCACACGACTGACACAAACAGATCACAGTATAGCTTTCACGTCCACAACATTGCTATCCGATATACATTAGAGAACACAAATAAATAAATAAATAAATAAATCAAATCACCAAAAAAAAAAAAAAAAACTTCTACAGTCAACCCACACACTGCACACACAAGGGAAAAGCACGTGACTCAACTGCGTATGAATGGGATTAGACGTCTCACATAAACAACTTCAGCACTTTCAGTTTTGAGATAATATTTACAGTCCTCCATGGGCAACCCTTTCCATTCCAGCTGTAGGTTAATATTCCAGTAATGTTGTCGTATGAAAATTGCAGTGATTAACAAGAACTTGGCGACAGTGTCTGCCTATAAATGATGCATTAGACAGTGTTTACTCAAGCTGTCTAAGTCGACACCTCTATTTTTCAGTGCAGGAAAATGCCATAATTTTCAATATCATGAAAAAGACAGGGTCACTGCCCTCGTGCGCATTGTAAACAGGAAGTGTTGTGCCTCATGTATTCTTACTGGGCGTTTTTTGATAAGGGACTGTGGGAAGGAGACTGGAGTTCAGACATCGTCCTGGGAAGAGCAATGGAAAGGGATGGCCTCAGGCTGGAATTAGACTACAAGAAAATGGAGAGAAGGAGGGGAGGGTTAATTACCATGTTTGTTATGTGTATTGATGCAGATAAGAGTGCTTAACTTGTGACAGTAACTCTTCAAAGAAAAGTTAAGATTCTTAAGATGTGCATGAACCTTCAGTGAACGTTCCACTGTAGTGTAATCACTGGAACCTGTGGGCAGTCTGTTTGCTTTGAATACATACAGTACGTAGAACATGGCTTTTGGGGCAGGGTTGCTGTATGCCAGTGGTATTATCACTGCGAGAGTCTGTATAAACATGCAGTGGGAAAGCAAAGTTAGCTGAGCTACGGATTTACCATGATGAGACTTTCACTCCCAGTAATACCGCAGATACCAGATGGTTTCATTCTTCAGCTGAGGTCCAAACAGGGGGTTAGTCTGGGCCAGAATTGCTACCAACCAGCTGTAAAAGTAAGAGAAACATTTTTCTCCATAATGTTAAACTCAGCTGGATTCATTGAAGCATTAATAAATTTTGCCATTTACCCTATAGATTGCACTGAAAATGGAAAAACACACATAGTTTATATATGACAGCTTATAAATATGTAAGGCAACAAAACGCGTGGGTTTTATCTGCGCTATACTTTAACACCTTCTCATTTTGTCACCCAAGGGCTTCCCAGGACGGGCTCTGCGGGTGTCCCCCGGCTCTCTAAACCACACATCGGCTTATTTTACTGACAAAGACCCGCTTCCCCATATGAGCAGGTAACCGAGCACCGACGTACCGGTATGTGACAGTAGGAAATACTCACAACAAGTAGCAACAGACGGCTGTCAATATCAACATCGTGATGACAACTCTGAAAAAAGAGATGAGGGCGGGGATGCGGGACAGAGTTTAGCTAAAAACATATAAACATATAAAGCGATATTTTTATGCAGCGTATGGTGCATTTAGCCAGCATGGGGCCGAGCAGCTCCGGATGCTGGGAGGCATTTTGAGAGCCGAACTGGGCCTTCGGGACACCGCGTTCCGTTATTAATATCCTGTTAGACAGACAGCATGCACGCTCTTCCGGTTCGACCTTATCCACCGATGCAATTTTGATATTTTCCAAACAGACTGTTATATTAAAATATAAATGAAATGACTGCGTTACATCGGGGTTGCATAAGAAACAGATGCTTACCCTCGGTTAGGTCCCTTGGGCACGAAAAAGGGAGCGACGATACCCACTAGACCCCACAACGTCGTGAAACAGACCATCGGCAACGCCAGGGAGTGATAAACCATGGCTGCGGCCCGGAGAAAACCGGCAAAGCGGGCGGACAGTGACAGCGGACGGTAACGGGAGTAAACCGAGGAAATGTCCGTCCTCTTCCCACAGAAACCCGGCTACCGTTACGTCACCGCCCACGAACCAAACCGGCGACTCTATTGGATGAAGGTTCTGAGATTCGTTGAAGCAATTGGCCGATAGTCGCCGTCAATCAGGGCGCTTGGGACGGAGAAGATCCGCGATTGGTTTGGATAGAAAACGATGCCGCGTTGCGCTCCATAAAACGGAGGAAATGAAGTCACGTACCGATTTGTGTTAGGTAGAGGGGTTTATTTTGATGCATATTGGTACGGCACTGATGTGCATTTAATCCCACTGCGGCCATTAACTTAACGTCCTAATAGGTAGAAATAGTAGTGTGTCTTTTGCAAAATGTATTCATACACTTATTGGCTACTTTATTAGCCACCTCTACGTAGCAAGTGGTAGGATCTCCTTTTTGTCTCCAGAAACACCTCAAGGGCTGAGGAGTTGTGTCTTTGGAGATGCCTTTCTGCACGCCACCTTTGTACTGAGCTGTTTGCGTTTGTGGTTCTCCTTATAGCCTGATAGCTTTAACAAATCTGGCCATCCTGTACCTGACCTGTGTCGTTAACAATGTGTTTTCTGATTATTACACTATTCTCTGTAAACCATAGACGCTTTGTGAAATTCCCAGGAGGACTGCTGTTTCTGAGCAGCTGGGGTCACCACATCTGGCACCAACAATAATATCCATGCATCCACTTTCTGAAACCGCTTATCCTATTTAGGGTCATGGGGGGTCTGGAGCCTATCCCGAAGGCTACGGGCACAAGGTGGGGAGCAACCCAGGGTGGGGCGCCAACCCATCACAGCCAACAATAAAAACTATCTTTAAAATTGCTTATATCAAGTGTCCTTGTAATTCTAATGCTTAGTCACGCAGTAACTGAACCTCATGGTTCTGCATGCTGCAAATATTCAGTTGCAGTCACATATCCAATTGGAGGAGCAGACTGTCTGCATCAACTGCACTTAGGGCACATTCAGTGATCTTTACTTTCTTCTTGGGAGACACATGTGAAGTACAGTTCATGGGTCTAGTCCAGGGGTGGGCAATCTTATCCACAAAGGGCCGGTGTGTATGCAGGTGTTTAGGATAACCTTTAGGTCAGCTGTTCAAACCCAGGTGTGAGGACTCTTCAGCCAATCAGTCCTCTAATTAGTAATCTAGTTAGGGAGTTGCAGCGAAAACTTGCATACACACCGGCCCTTTGCGGATAAGATTGCCTGCCCCTAGTCTAGTCTATGTGGTTTTTCACTCTGTCATGTTAATGTGGTACCTTTTAGGTTTTTAATAGTATTATTTATTCTTTATGAATTGCTGGCTTGTTAAGAAGTTATGTTACTAAAAGTATTCTCTTTGGCTGGTGTATGGATCTCTTTTCCCTTGATGGATGGATTTAATTATCAGAATTATCGTTATCTCTTTATTTGTACAGGCATGTACAAGGATCTTGTTCTGGTGTGTGGTCATACATTTTGCATATGTTAATACACATGTTGCACATTAAGTCACACAACATAAATCAAAACGCACAGACAGGTATGTGAGCAGCCTTGGGTTGCTACACAGTACACAGTTATAATATTCTTAAAAATTCGATTTCACTCATATTATTTCCCTGTTTTCCTTCTGGCGGCGTCTGGCTCTGTGGGTTTGGATGCTGTGCCAGTGACTGGAAGGTTGTTGGTTCAAATTCTGTGACTGGCAGAGTGGTTTCACCATTGAGCAAGGCTCCTCACCCCAATTGCTCCCGGGACTGGCTGACTCGCTTCTCAGTTGTATGTTACTTTAGATAAAAACAACCTCCAAAATATATAATGTACTAGGGTATCAAAATTGTGTCAGCTGAACACATCACATCTAATAACTTTTAGTGACAGCTGTCATGTGCCATGAAAATCCTTTAGTTATTGAGTAGCGACTGATTAAAAAGTCCCATTTCCACTCTAGCATCATAGCCCCTGAAATGACACATGTCCACATGTTGGTGTTCGACGGCAGAGTTGGAGAGAAAAATTAGTCTGCGCAGGAATGCGACACAGTATCTGCAGTGTTTGAGACGGGAAACTCACGGCAGCTTGAAAGTATAACTTTATTCGCTAAACATAAAAGCAGTTTATATGGCCTGCAGTTTAACTTTCCATCCACTTTTCCTGAATATGTAACACAAGCAGCTTGTTCAATGGTATGACATAGTATTTACTATAAAATTTGCCCAGCTGGGTTGCAAACCTATGTGACATGCTGACTTCAGAGATTTCAATTTGCTGTCATGCTGGGGATTTAATATGATCTGATTATAATAATTATGTAGACATATTTTGCCACATTTTATAAACTACTTTCAAACTGTTGCGATGATATTGGAAGCCAAGGAACCTGTGGACACAAGCTGAAGCTTTTGATGCAGCGGTGTCTGTTTGGAAGCTGTGCGTGTCAATGTTTGCTGAGGTTTTCACCAGGAACGTCACAAGAAGCTGGGAATCTGCAGTAGCTCAATACAGGGAAAACCTCACCAACCTTCCACCCTAATCCAAGTGGTGGATGTCAAATGAATAAGCAGAATTGTTTTAGCCATAGAATGGAGAATTTTAGACTGTGCTATATCAGCTGAGGCAGACGATACACATTGTGTTATGAACAATGGCTATTGAAGTACTTCTGCATTGCTTATATCATATATTGTCACTGATACTACATGTCTGATGCATCCATTGTTAGCTGGAAAAGCCTCACCAACAATAAGCTGCCTTATTATTGCATGGAGTATCTCACTATTGTACCAGACTGCAGATACAACTGAAGTTAACAATGTGTAAATTCAAGTACAAATATAGTAGAATGTAAGAGTGATGGCTCTTCTAGGCCTTTGAAAAATCCCTTAATTTGCCACACATCACTTTCACTGTCCTTGAAGTGCATGGGGAGAAGCCAGAGCTCAGATATTTGCGCTATTTTTTCTTGTGAAAGGTGAGCACTTGGAGTGAACCTGATAGATATTTGCTGAACTCTTAACAGCCCCAATGATAAATGTGATTTACAGGGCTTTGATTTATCTCGTTTTTGGTGTGCAACACACCTCGGGCATGTCAAAACCATAAGAAGAACTAATTAAAATCTATCATGGAAATCCACTGACTGGGTGATATAATCTATTATGAGATAAAATCAATCACTGTGTGGCAGTGATGCCTGGGAAAAAAATCTGAAAGGAAATTTCTTCATGTATTGAAATGCATACAATTTGATGTAGCTTTTTTCCATGATTTTTTTTTAATTAAACAATTTGGACTTAAATTTCAAGCTGAACAAAAAAAGCTAAAAGTAACCAATACGTACGTGTGGATAACACACTAGGACAGGAAACCTCTGTCTTCATCATCTCGAAAAACTAAAATAATAATGAAAGGAAAATTAAAGAAAATGATTCTACGGCTTAAGGCATGTGCAGCGATGTCTAGGGATTTTGGATGAAAAAAAAATTAATTCAAGTAAATATGAAAACCTGTATTGGGCAGATGATTGATTTTTTTTTTTGGATAGAAATCTTCAAACGGAAATGAACAGAAAATGAAATATTACAAAAAAGGGATTGTATGTCAGGATCTTTAATTTTGAAAGCATATTTAAGGGTGGAGAACCTTTTAGACGAAAAAATATTATAGGACTCACACACTCCCCCTACCGGCATGCCAGAGATACCAGTTTGCTAACTGCAGCAATTCAAATACATTAAAGCTATATTATATATATATATATATATATATATATATATATATATATATATATAACGCCACATATATAACTTTATAACGCCAACAGAATATATATATTTTAATTGTTTTGTTGTAATATTATTTCAAAATTATTTGGTATTTGTTTTAAATAAATTGAATTTTAGTCTTTTTTCATGAGTAACTGGTAAGAGACTGCCCTCTAGCGGCAGGTCGTCCCTCAGTGAGCTTTTCAATAGCATGTGCATATGAATATTTCCATTCTTGTACTCTACAGATACTAGACTGTCCACTTACAGCCAGAAACTTCATGAGATGGAGTAAAGGATAAAAAATGTGAATATATCTAAAATGGGCAGATGCTATGAAAAGTTTAAGCAGCTTGTGTATAAAAAAAAGTATATCAAATTATTTCAAAATCATGCGTTACTAGATCTATAGCGATAAACACCCGTTAGCCTAATTGAAATGACGGAATCCAGCTTCGTACAAAGGCAAACATGCTAGACTTCTGTGTAAGGCAGAATGTGTAATCATTGCAGGTGATGTGTGCATCATTCCGGATGATATGTGCATCATTGCGAGTGATGTGCGCATTATTGCAGCTGATGCGTGCATAAAGTGCTCGTTGTTTGGGCGCGTGTCGCAATGACGCGCCCCGCGTGCTCGCGGAGCATCCTTACGGCCTAACACTGTCATATGGGTTCGCAGTGTATTCCCTTATACCAGGATAAACAGTGTTGTTTAGTTAAAAGACGTAAGATCCAAACTGATGATTATTTACAGTGGGTTTTAAAAGTTGCATAGTAATACTACTATATAGTACAAAACTAGTAATCAGTAAAATGTGTGTCGAATGATATGTCTATTAAAGGTAACTAATTGGAAGCGGGGATAACGTGGATTACACTTTGATGTTTCGGTGGAGAGTGGACCGTTTGGCCGGATACAAGAATTACAGGCGACGTTTCAAGTTTGGAAGATAAGGACTCCAGTTTTCATGGGCGAGCTTTTTCCGGTGCCTTCAGTACAAACGATACCATTCATTGGTCATGTAACCAAATAACTGCAATCCAAGGTTGCCATTGCATTTGTAATATTGAAAGCAAATATAGTAGCGTTCAAGTAGAAGTAGTAGAAGTTCAAATGCAGCTGCGTTTCACGGCTTTGTTCATGTTGTCTTTCCTGGTAAAAAACTGTTTTAAAGTGGATTAATTCCCTCCCAACGGAGTTCACAGTGTTCATCAAACAGACTATATAAACATCCGTGCATTCATGGTTGTTAAAATATGATGTTATTTATAGATTTTTTTTCATGCGGGGCCTTGCCAAAAATAAAGCTAATCTACATTTGACCCATTTCTCATAAGTATTTATCTTTTGTAGGTTATGAAGTACAACTCAGATTTATCTTTTTTTGTGCGGGAAGGGGGGTGGGTGCTCAAGGTTAAAAGCCGTGCATTTCTTACACTTAAAATGTTCCCCTAGAAAGACTAATAAGGCAATAAGGTGTGACTTTTTGGGGGGCTGCTGGTACCCTAAATGGAAACGTTCGTAATGGAAGGTGAATAGATGGATGGATGATGCGGCAGAGAGAAAAAAATAATTGGAAATTATGTATTTTTTTATTGTTTTTTTGAGAACCGATAGACCAGCCCACTGATTGGACGAAATTACAGTGGGTTAATTTGGCCCATCTATCTCAGACATCAAAGCAGTGACACCCCCACACTCAGCACCGAAACAACCATAAATACAGTCAAGTCTGTTAAGAATTACACTCAGCCACCAACCTGCCTCAAGCAAGCCTGGAGAAGACTGAGAGTTTAACTGATTCCAGAACAGTTATCACAGTACGTAACTAAGCAAGTATAAGGAATGGTGTAGAAATGTACATAATTGCCCAGTTAAAGAGAAAAAATGATCACCAGTATTATGACCACACGTGTAGTTTGGGGTAGGAGCTTGAACACATTGTCTGATGTGGCTCGTAATGCAATTTGCCACAAATCTACTGCTGCAATTTACAGTTACAGCCATCGGTAAGTTCTCAGTAAAAGCTCTGATTTCCCATAACTCTGAAATCCAAGTACTGCATGCCATCAAAAGTCCTTACAAGACAGTTCATGTCCCAAAGTGCTCTCTGGTTTAATTCCAAGCAACATTTCATTTGAGTTTCCAGAAACATTTTCCAAACATTTATCCAAAATAGAGCCATGGAAAGTTGGCTGCCCGTCTCAGGAAGCAGACGGGGGCATAAGGCAGGTTACACAGCGGAGTGGCTGCCGGACCTGCACATACGTGTATAAACACACAGTAAGGGTGATTTTAAAGACAAGCAGTCATCTAAACTTCATGTCTGTGCAATTTAAGAGGATGCAGAAGAGGACACTCAAGCTCCACACTGACACAAATAAGTCAGAAATCGAGCCCACAACTTGGGAGGTGTGAAGTCACAATAAAGTCAATTGAACCCCATCAACCTCAATCATGTCACCCGCAAGACCACTACATCAACTAAAGAGGGACTGAAGGAGCAGTCATATGTAGCAACACTCATGCTATTTATTTAAGATAAGCTGATTAATTATTAATAACAGGCCTAACTGTATACTGGTGAAATGAATAGTGAGTAATGCTCCATTAACATTCTCAAGACTTATTTTTAAACTGTATCTAGGAGGCCCAAGTTGGGCCTTTAGTTCCTCTCAGTTTACAAGAATTAGACATTTGTGATCAGAGAAACTTTGTTAACATTACATAATGAATTCTTCTCTGACTGAAATATCCCTGGAGGTTGTTTTAGGGTCCTTTGTCAGAAACTTGCTTATCAATTGTGTCTCCCAAGATCTGGTTGCTATCTTATGAGAGCTTTATACGGATGATCACAGCAGCTAATATTAAGGTGGTGATATAATTCATTTTCCTGAGTAATCAGTTACTGTTAGTCTCCTGCAAACAGAGATGAAATTGGTGAATAGTGAATAGTATGTTAGCTCTTCACTTTAATGCCTCTGAATTTTAATATTCACTAATTTGTGAGACAAATACTGCTATTGTTAGAACCAATAACATATAATAGACATTCCTCTAAGACCAGGAATCATTCTTGTAGCTCTACGTTGCACCTTTTCCAAGGCAGCAATGTCCTTCTTAAGGTATGGTGACCAAACCTGCACACAATATTCTAGGTGAGGTCTTACCAAGGAATTGTATAATCTTAGCATCACCTCCCTTGACTTAAACTCAAAATCAGCTACCTTTATTTCAGTGGAACCCATACAATATCTGTACTAAACACGACCCTGTGATATAGTCGACTTGCGTAGCTCATTGTAAATATGCTGTATATTGTAAACAAATGCAGTTACAATAATTAAAAAAAAAATCACGTCGTTGTCCAACTTCCTTAGAGACAAGCTTATTCATTAACCTGAACACGATAACAGAATATACAGAACTGAATGCATCTAGCAAATGCAATAATTACAGCACGCAGACACGTTTAAAAAAACTCGTTAGAAAGTCTGACGCAATCCTTGCTCGGTATGGATAACTCATTGTGTAATATCTTTGTTCAGATCATTTAAAATGCACCAGAAATACTAAAGCAATGAATAATAATGATATTTACATTATTGATTGCTTAGTCATGCAGATATTTCACCTGTTTTAAACTGATTTAGCCGTTCTCACTATAGAGAATACATACACGTACTTAAATATATTTGTCATGCAACCACAGAATAAGGAAGTATCCACAAACCCGATAACCAGGTATTCGTGACTGAAAAAATGCCAAGAACTTGAACTATATTATATGGCGTTTCAGTTAATGGATCTCATGTGAAGTACACTGTGTATTTACCTATACGCAATGTAAAGTGAAATTAAATCCAAAGCCACAATGTTCAGGTTTTATGTGATCTGTTAGCTATTATGTACTTTAACAGTAATTATGGTGTTTTTATCTGTAGCTCAAACATTGTTTAACACCTTTATTGTCGACGTCGCTGCGACCCGGTCGTGCGTGTCTGTTACGTGCCGCCGGCCTGCCGGGGCTGATGAGGTTATGGCCCCTTTAAGACGCGCGTAGGGGTGTCGGCAAAATCCTAATATACCGACAGTCCACAAAACCGAGGGGAACCATAGAAGTCACCGGAGGCAATTTAAATGGTGAGCCGGTCGCCTGCGCCTCCGAGCGCTCCTGTGTGCTAAATGCACGCATCCGTATATTTATACCTGCACTCGAGTCAATACTGCTGGATGGTGGCGGCCATGAGGTTCACAGAAGACATACGCAGGCTGTTCGGGATCGGGATCGGGATCGGTGAGTAATCGCCGCACGCAACTTTAGCAACTTTTCCGCCCTGCTTCCCCCGTAGTCCCACTCGCCAAGACTCCCCCCGCTCCTCCTCCTCGAGCCCGTCGGCCGGTAAGTCCGGCTCGTGCGAGTCCCCGGGAGCGACCTAACGCGTCTGTCCCCTAAATCTGTGACATCGGCTGGAATGAGAGCAAAGTTTGGCAGATACTAACAGCTAAGGAGCCGCTGCTGGGGTTCCTTTATCACATCATGCATTCTTTTATTTCGTGGCTTCACAATAGTTTACTTAGGGAAGGGAGCATCGGGGAAATACTTTATTAAATGTCTGTAGCGGAATTCACACTTTGATAAATATGGGTGTTTGTCTCCGTGTCATTCGTGGGCGCTTCCTCCTGGGACCATCTAGGCGTCCCTCGTGATTTCGCTCATATACTTAATATTAACACCATAAAGACTAATAACCGGCACCAAAGACCAGGAAGTGATTTTAAAAGTTAAACCAGTAGGAAAACAAAAAATAAACGTTTTCAAAAATAATTTGTACGATTGTCATTTAGGACAGCTTTGTATGTTTTTTTCCTTTCGCTCGTGAAGCTGTTCAGGCGTTCTTTCTCTTAACTGATGAGGTCTTTAAAGCTGCGCTTCTGTAAATTCATGATGTAGAGAATATTTAAATCTCACGTGCACATATTAAAATTTTCAAGGAAATATCAAGGCACATAGGCCTACATAGCTAACACAAAGACATGTTTTTCTTTTTCCTTGTAAACGTTGGTTATGTCTTTAAACTTTACTGTCAGTAGCAGAAACTGCGAGCTCAATAGTTAAATGCTGTCTGATGACAGATTGTCAACAGGGAAGGGAATTTGATAATCTTTTAATCTGGGTCTCCAAAACATCCAGTCAAGCCTGGTAAAACCTAGGAAAACCAGTATGGCTGAACTGGGCCGCCATGTGACTCATGCTGTTTAAATGTTTGAGGTGCATGAATTAACATATTTAATGAACAGCTATGTAGTTGTCCAATGAAACCAGGCCACTCAGAGGATTCAGAATGTTACATATTCGATCCTGACTATGTAGTTGAGTAAATGACACATTATTTTTGCTCGTCACTTCATGTGGACTGGATTTTCCATTCGATTAGCACTTTGTGGCTATTTTGTCCTACTACTAATGTGCTACAGCCAGGCCCATAGGAACTGTGGGGGAGCGGAACATATCTATCCCCCAGTATTTAATTTGGCTTTATTTATCCACTAAATAAATAGACTTTAAGTTATTAGATTGTGCCCCCCCAATATCAAACTCACTATACATCCTTGACAACAGCATAAGTCACACCAGCATGCTTGTGCAAAAGTAGCATAGTCTAATCTGATATAGTGATTCTAAGAAAGATCTTTTTCTCTTAAGATCTGCAATATAACGTTTAAAATGTTTAAAACTGTCAAATGCTCTAAGTTGCCTCATATGTCACTAATTATCTGTGAGATAACTGGCCATTTGGCTACTAGTTTTATTACAGTGGTTTCATGTTAAAGAAGGTCAGTGGCACACAGTATTTCTGCAGTGGTCTTTGTTTCTTAATCCCCATTCATTTCATTTTTTTAAACTACTCATCCAGACTATGGTTCCAGCACTTCAGAGTATGTATTTTATTGTGCTTGCTCTATTTGAGATGGATATGTTATATTGCTGCAGACTTTATGTACATAGTCCAACTTAAAGGATTAAATCTTCTTAAATTTTGCATGTTCTTGGCGTGATGTAAAACATGTTGTGAATTTTGTCCACTTCAGTCAGTGTTAGAATAATGGGTTCCCTGCTGCTACAATTTATGCAAATACATGTATTTGTTATGCTGTGGTGTTTCCCCATGTTTGCTGCTATTTTTCATGTCAGTAGTGGGAATTTGCAGAGTAGTGAACCAAGATGCATTGTGGGTATTCGTGAGAACTGGTATGGCTGCACTAAGGCATTTATAGCATGTCTTAATCAGAGCGACAGATGGGCCGGCAGTAAGCCCAGTTTGCCTAGTGGTTAAGGGTATGGGCCTTTAACCAGAAGTTTGCTGGTTCTAGGATGGATCTCGTACAAGGTCATAAGTCAGAATTGTTTCAGTGAAATTATCCAGCTACATAAACAGGGTCAATCATTAAAATTTCGTAAGCTTTATTTATTTTGTACGTTTCATAGAAAAACACCAGTTATCCTGCATGGTTTTCTCGAGAAAGTTATTTTGGTAGCTTTTATAGTGTCCCACACATGGCAAAATTGCTTTCTTATGACTTTTCTGAAATGTTTTATTATGTAGTAAAGAAAGAGTGCTCTTACATGACATTTGTCTTTCTTATAGTTATGCAATTTGGCCTGTACTGCTTCCCAGGGCTGTTCTGTTACATCCTCCAACCCCAAACTTAACGGCAGTGACCTCCCGGTTGCACAACAGTGTCACACGTCTGCTTGTGCGCTGGGTGGCAGGTGAGATAATGTCTCCTTCAAACAGCTCTCAGTTCCGCGAGCAGCAGAAGTGGTCACCCTTTATGTTTGCTGCGCTGGGTTCTAGTCAATACTTTCATGGTTCTTTTTTCACTTCTCACATTCCTGGCTCAAACGTCCTTTGGTTTCAGTGTTGGGGGAGGGTCATTGTAATCATGTAGTAACTCACCATAAAACAGAACTATGGCCAAATTGCTCAATAACTAGAAGATTAAGATGCCTTTATTGTCATTATAGATAATACAATGAAATTTCCAATGCCAATCACAGTGGTATTAAACGTACTGTGTCCCAGATACAAAACGTAACACAAAAACAAGGCGGGTGGGAACAGAGACACAGAGTAGGAAATGATTATGTTGCATATTTTGGAGTTCTGTGGCCAGACATTTTTGCTGTGATAAACCTCCCTCATTGAATCGTCTCGCTTGTCAAGACAAACACTAGGAACAATTTTGATGGTTCCTAATCCTGCATGTTGTATTAGTACTTCCTGTGGTATTAGAGTTACTGGTGGGTGAATATGGGCAAATAAGCTGCCAGTCGCCTCTTTTTAAAATGTGAAAAAGGTTTAAGTAAAGCTGTAGCTTATCGCGTGATGGCCGCATTGCAGGTTGACGCACAAGGTGCGTTAATATCTCCACTCCACATCAGTGCTGAGTTCTCAAATTTGTGATGTTAAAGGGAAGTGTATGGGACTTGTGGAAAGCACTCATGGTGCAGTTCACTTTGAATCGTTTGGGGGGGGTGGGAGTTTAATCGCATTTCCTTTGAGCAGTATGATAACACTTTGGGAATGGGGGGTGTAAATCGTATCACTTTCTGTCTTCATTTAGATGTTGCGAATTGCGTATTATGTGCTGAATGAATAAAAAACATGAATAGTGAGTTTCATAGACTGCTGTCACAGAGCCAATAATGTCACAGTGCGACATGCACGTGGCCGGATCTCCTGTGACTGGCTGTGGTCTCTGCTGAGCTAGTGATCAGGCGTCAAGCTAAAGGTAGCGTGACACGCAGACAGCAGTGGCATTCCCAGATGTTCTTAGCCTTGTATTTTCCCCAATACTTCCGTTTTAGACTTAAAAACAAAAAAAAATACACAACATTCCAAACAGGAGAGAATTCCATTTTAAGGGAGCATGGTTTAGGTTGAAGAATGAGTAAATCCAAATATGTTGCCTGCTTTATAAACAGTCATTTGTTTATTTGGTAAAACTTTAAATTAACTGCACCTTTATAATGCATTCATAACATTCAGTGCACCTTCGTAATGCATTCATAGAACATTCATAAGCAGCATGAAAGTATACATTGACAGCTTTAATATACATTAATAACAATTATATAATAACAAGCATTACAATCGTACAGTGTTGTATATTAAAGCTTTTAACGCATTTTGGATGTTAGGGTGTACTTGCATGCTGTTCATGAATGTTCTATAGATGCATTATAAAGGTGCACCGAATGTTCTATGGATGCATTATAAAGGCATTATGAAGGTATGGTTAATGTAAAGAGTTACTGTGTAGTTAGATTTTTACTGCAAGTAAGCATTAACCATTACTGTTTTAATAATCTGAAAACGTGAGGCTTGAAATCCTCATTCAGCTCAGTTATTACACTCTGCCTGTGCAGCTATCCCTCCTGAATGTTATTGGTCTTATCTTTAGTGAGATTAAGGGACTTGCCGTTTGTTCTTGGGTTCTGAACAAAACATAGCATTGTTGCATGCAGCTGTGGTTTCACTTGTTGCAGTCTATGGTGTGTTTCAAAGAACATTGGAGACAGCTGGGAGTCTGTTTTGTCCTTGTAGATCGTTCCCATCTAGCTAGAGAGAAAGCGGCATCATTCTCTGGTTGTGGCATGGTGCGGTTTTGTCTTAATAAATTAATGTGTGGATGATGCAAACCTGTAAACTACAGTCTTTATTCTGATGCATGAACATCCACACAAATAGATACCCACTGGTCACTTGTCGTGCTACTCAGCTCTCATTCTATCCTGGCTATTCAAACAGAAATGCGCATTACTCTCCTTGGGTCAGTGAGCTGGTTTGTTATAAACGTTTCAACCAGTCCTGCTTTTTCTTCAACGTTGATGATGAATTGCAAGATATATATATAATTTTTTAATTTTTTTTAAAGTAACGTGTGAACGTTAACTCTGCCGTCGGAGCAGCATGTGTTTTGGTTTTGAGTTGAAATTGTAAATGTACGTGTGTCACCTCGAAAGTTTTGGGGGATACTGAAAAATGTCCAGAGACCAGAATGGTCTTTGGTGATAGGTCTTCTCAGGAATGCAACCAATTTTTAAGTCTATCTGGCTGTCAGACCTGTTAACTCCTACCTACCTCAGGAAAATGCACATTTGCACAGCAATGTTTCGCATATTTGCACAGTCTGCTGTCTTATACACACCGCCCTGCATCAGCGTTTACCTGTTTCATTGCACTGTCATTGTTGTTACATATGACTATTTTACTTTTATTCCTTTATTTAAAAAAAAAAAAAAAACATATTTACTGTCCAGTGTTTATCACTGTCCGAGCTGTTTGATGCTTCGAGGAATCGCAATTTAATCACATGGTTGTAAAACGACAATAAAGCAACGTGACTTTAGCCATATTATAATGTTCTGTTTTGGCCAAAGTTACCATGTACGTTCTTCTACATTTGAATCAGGGTTAACGTGCACGGTGTGTGTTCGTACGCTTTCTACATTTGAATCGGGGTTAACGTGCACGGTGTGTGTTCGTACGCTTTCTACATTTGAATCGGGGTTAACGTGCACGGTGTGTGTTCGTATGCTTTCTGAGTTTACAGGTACTGCATTGACATCCTGTGCAGTTTTTCTCCCCTTATTAGTATCACTCTTTTTAACTTGTAAGATTATTTAACATTTAGCCTCAGTTGATATTGTTATGCTGTGACACTGAACTTATAGATTTTTACTCATAATAAAAATTCTATTGATTGTATGAAATAGCAATACATCATTTAACATTTACAAATGGCACACAATAGCTGACTAGACTGACGAATCAGATTTCAGAGTTGAAAGTCTAAAACAGTTTTCCCAGCCCGGTCATTGAGGACCCCCAGACAATCCATAGAACTGTCTGGCAGGGAGCTGGGAGGGAGCAAAAACGTGGACAGTCTGTGGGTCTCTGAGGACGAGGTTGGGGAAAGCCTGCATGCACTGGGTCTGACAGAATCCAGTTGTGAAAAAGCTTTTGAACATTTTCCCCTGTATGTTCTTAAATGTTTGATGTAAGAGCACAAAAGTAATCAAAATGGCAGATGCTTCCTGACTTGCGCAGATTCATCCCAAGCAAACATGGGACTTAAACAAACGCTCCACTGTTTACTTTGTCATTTAGCTGCTCTTAGATGAATCAGACTGTCCAAATGGAGGCCCATTCAATTGTTTTAATCATCTCATGTCTTTTTACAGCTATGAATCATAATCAAATGGGTTGTGTGCAGCCTTATTTTCAGCTCTAGAAGAGAGAATAGATGTTTGGTTTTGTCCTTCAGCATGGTTCCTTCATTGCAAAGAATTGTCATTGTTTTCTTAGGGTATCCCATCTATAAACATTTTTCCCCTGACAGTTTTCTAAAGACTCCCTTAGCATATATTTTACAGAGAGAAATGAATGATTTATTCACACGCCTCAGGTTGTGGCGAAGGCGGCTCTGCAGGTGTTGCCGTGTTTTGCAGAGAAGGTGTTTTGTTTGGCAGCTGTGTTACGATATCAGAATCCACGAGGCTTTCCTGCTTTGCATAACAAATATGGAACTCTACAAATTATATTTTCCCTTGACTCAAAATCCCAGTATTTTTTTTAGCCTAATAAAAAGGTTTGCTTACTGGCAAAAGAATAGCTTGCAGACTTCTAAGTCATTTATCCCTTCTGTTAGTGACCAAACATCCATTTTCAATTATCATAATTCTGGTTAGTCACTGTATCCTCAAGCCAGCCGTACCATAGCAGCACTGTTTATCGCAACATGATTGCCGTACTGGTCCTGTGTCCTTAATTGAAACATTGCTCATGTTATGATTCTGCTCATAATTATTTGCAAATACAGAAAACAACTGTAGTTATTTGAGCTCTGCTTATTAAAAAGTAAGGTTTGAGTTTGAGCCTTTACATCATTTTCCTGTAGCAGAGGGACAGGATTAAATGTATTTGCTTGCATGTATTTCCTCTTCTCTCTTTGCATGTTCGCTTCTGTCGCTACACTGCCTCTTTGTATGGCTTTTATTTTCCGTTTTAATGCTTTTCTGGAAACATCATTTAAAATATCTTTTGAATGAGTTCTTGTTCTGAAACTTCTGGGATCGATGCGGTTCTGCTTTGCAGTGTTGTGACATTGCCAGTATGTGCCATTATCTTTTTGTTCTGGAAAGGTACTTCCGAGCAAAAGGGAGAGCAGACTGAATGTGGAAGTGCAGAGATCTCCAACCAGAGGGCTGATGACGCTGCTCTGACTCCGGTATGGCAGGAGCTGTTCCTGAACTGTTGACTGTTTCAGCTTGACAAGGGAACAAGGGACATCATGCTCTGCTAAGTGAAGCATTGGGGTTTGGAAAGAGGAGGAAGAGTTTTATCAGGGTAGAGTAGGTGCAGAACTTGGCTGGGGGAGACCCAGGTAGAGGTTGCATCTATATATGGAGTGCAAGTGATTTGTGCTGATCAGTTATGCGTGTCTGCAACAGGACGGCCTTATGGGAGAGGAGGGCTTCAGTGAGGAGGAGCGGGCCAGGCGTCGTGCAGAGAGACGCAGAGCCAAGAGGAAGGTGAGTGGTGGTCCGTGGTTTCCCGCAAACCCTCCACCATCGTGTCCTATGCTCACAGGAGTCAGGAACGGTACTGTGACCCTTAACGTCATTCTGTAGCGACAGCGACAACGGAAGAAGTTGGAACAAGTTGGAAAGAACGAAACTACTGAGCAGGTAGGGGATACGTCACTTACGGTTTAATTTCCGTTGAAGGGAGAGTGGGTCATTTATACAATGTCTGTCAGGACGAGGAGGATGAGGAGGACTCTGTGCAGCTGGAGTCCGAGGAGAGTGGAAGTGAAAAGGAGGACGAGGTGGTGATCTGCAAAGGAGTGCCTATCCAACTGCTCACAGCTTCAGGGAACAGGGCCCATCACCATGCATCATGCAGTCCTTGTGAAGAGGTACTGCCAAAAGTAATGAAACCATTGTACTTATAGAAATGAATGGTGGGCTGGCCTAAGTTCTGGTAAGCTTCAGTGTGCTGGAGTAAACCCCAGGGTTGAAGTGGGCCGTTCTGGTCTTTCACTGACTTTGCATACTGTGTCATAAAGAAGGTGTTCAGTAAGGGTTCTGGCTTGTGTTTGCCTCTGCAGAGTACCAAATCTCTGTATACCATAATCATTTCTGCGGTATGAGAGGTGCCCCATAACACACTTCTCAGTCCAAGAATTTGTCTTTGGATCAAGATCTGTCCTGTGTCTTTTCTTGGAACAAGCTTTCTTCCTACAGTTACAATGCTCATAGAAAGTCTTGGGATGCTTGCTTAATGCTGTAAAATATTGCAGATTTATTGGGTTTTGTAAACAAATCATTACTTTTTTCATTTACAAAAAATATATATGACATTAGAAACAACTGGAACCATTTAAAGTTGTAATCAATTGAAACTCAAATTATTGTTCTAAAACAGCTGTTCTGTGTGAAAACGTTTATTGACAAGCATCATTGTGTGCTTTTTAATTAGTAACACCTTTGCAATAACATAAGACGCCAGATATTTGTGTTTAGTGTCCCTTTGGGAGCCAGTGACTAAAAATGCAATTAATAGCAAAATGGCAAGAACAGAACTGAATAAGTTGGTAAAAAACAAAAAAATATGACAATAAAAAGAGAATGTCTGTTCATAACATATCTGCAGATATGTTAAACATTGCTTGTCAATGGGCTTTTGTTATGAAACCAATAAATTTGTAACATTATTACAAAATTAATCAAGCTTCCCATGACTTACTGTGAGCGCTGTACATGGAAGGCCATGACTGGGCCATGAGCAGTGATGCTGGATATTAATGAAGACCGCTCTCAGTCAGCTGTGTGCACCTATGTCGTCATAGGACCCGGGCTGGGACGTCAGCAGTGCCTTCTACGCCAACGCTGCCAGCCATATCAAGCCGAAGACTCGCTTGGGGCGGAGTCAGGGCTCAAAGGAGAACAAAGAGAACGAAGCCAGGACCAGGGAGGTGAGTGACCACATGCTGGAAAATGATCTCCAAGGTGATTTATTCACTAATTCATTCCTGACATTCTTCACCCAGAATGCTTTGCATATAGATGCATCTGAACCATGTGTACATAATGGACAAAGAGCATTATCTTAAGCACAGAACCAGTAAATGCTCCTTTTAGATGTCAAATAGGTATATAAAAGCTACTTTTTGATTATTTTAAATATTGTATTCACTTCTATAACTGGAATTTACTTTACAGAATTAAGGTTAAGCACAGCACTGAAGAGTTATACTGCAGAAATCTGTGGTATTTTGGTTCTCTTTTGAGTTCTATAGACAGCACACCTCTTGCTGCAAAGCCAAAACATGTCTGTTCATGACACTGTACTGTTCGACTTGAGTTGCAAATCGCTCCGTGCCTGTTGTTGTGCAAGAACAGCCGGCAGGTATGTAAATTGAGGAAGCACATTTATTGGCTGGTGAGACAGAGGCTGAAGGAAGCGTAACTGTGTGTTGAAATTCTTGTTCTGTATTTTTAGCAGAGTTCACAATATTACTTGAAAAGCAAGTTTGAGAGTTCTGTGACTAATATGGTACGATGGTTATAGAGGGTGGGGGAGGACACATTGAAAAAATATTGTAATAGAAAAGATGTAAAATTTGAAGTTAGAGGAGAATTTGAAGTGATTACTGTGCATTTGGTTGGGGGATGTAGGCTACTGAATGTCCTGCTTGTGGCTATGCTTTCCAGGTGGACCCTGCAGATCTTGCGGCCAAGCGGAGCACCTCGTTGGCCGGTGAGCTGCTCGGCCTATCAGAACCAAGACTTAAGCTGCAAAGCCGGCCTCTGTGTTGCCAGGGTGGCTGTTACTGTAAAGATAAACCCTAAACCTCAGGCGACGACGGGAGCCTTTTTCACCTCTGGGGAAATGTGGTTTTTGTCTCTGCCGTTTTGGCACCTTATCAGCAAGACGCAGAAAAGTTGCCCAAGACGGTGAAGTCGCTTTTTTTTTTCTCCCCTTTTTTCTCTGAAACCACCTGCAATGAGCTGTTTGTGCTGGTTTAATAGCTACGTTTGGTCATTTCACGGTACTTTTCATCATGCTGGCTTTCTACATAAACTTCCCATGTCCTGCGATGTCCGTTTTATCTCTCTTACCTGACCTTTTACCCCCATTACAATTCCCATTTCCTGAAGTTTTGGTCTGATGTCTCATCAGAAAAGGGCATTAAGCTGTGGGAAGAGCAGAAGTACACTCAGGCCGTCAGTATGTTTACAGAAGCTATTCACTGCGATCCCGAAGATCACAGGTACCTATTCACTGCGATCCCAAAGATCACAGGTACCTGTTCACTGCGATCCCAAAGATCACAGGTACCTGTCCTGCCTAACAATGCGCCAGAGTTCCCTGAGTTTCATCTCCGAGAATGACCTGTCTTTTTGGGGCAGGTTCTTTGGGAATCGTTCCAGCTGTTATGAGTGCCTGGGTAACTATACCTTGGCCCTCGCGGATGCTGAGGAGTCAATCCGGCTTGCACCCCACTGGCCCTATGGGTATTTCCGTAAAGGACGGGCACTGATGGGAATGAAGGTCTGCACCTGAATCTTCACCAAATCTTAATTCTGTATTAATGCTGTATATATTTTTGAGGCCACCTACTGACCCTAACCTCTGCAATCTGCAGCAGTACGACAAGGCAGAAGAGGCCATGGAGCAGGTGCTCAAGCTGGACGCGAACTGCAAGGATGCCACCTATGACCTGTACAACTGCAAGCTGCAACAGCTCTTGGTGAATGAACTGAGCTGTGATTGGCTGGCACATATGTAATGAAATGATCTATTTGATCTAAATGGTGGGGGGAGGGAGCTTGTATTTCATAGCATTTAACTGATAATATCAAATGTGTCTATGCTAGGAAATGGGCTTTCAGGAACCACAGAGCAAACAGCTGCTGGAAAAGTATGCGACAGTGCAAGATGCAGTCACCTCTCCTGAGGCAGCAAGAAGTAAGAATAGCTAACTGGGAGATTTTTTTTTCCCTATCATATTTGAGGAACCAGTACCTTTTTTTTTCTTTAGCCAGTTGCTTTTCTGTAACCATTACTTTAGCCAGTGTTCAGCTCCATGCATATCTGAAGCAGTTTATATCAAATGGCTGTAATTCACCACAGTAGCTGGGGATTAAGCAAGCAACCTGGGCAATGCAGCTCGCATCCTTTTGGCCGCAGTTAGTCTTATTTTAAATGCAGCAGCTAACATTGCACTTTAGGTTACAATCCTGGGCAGAGCCTGTCCATTGTGGGGCACGCACACTGGCGAGCACACGCATTGGGGGTGCCTGTCCGTTGCGGTGAGCGCATGCACTGGCGGGCCTGTTCATCGTGGGATGCGCACGCACTGATGTGCCTGTCTGGCATGGGGCGCACACACACTCGGGTGCCTGGCCGTCGCAGGGCACACACTCACACTTAACACTCTTTGGACTATGGGAGGAAACCAGAATACCTAGAATTGCACACCACACAAAGATGGGGGGGAAGCTATGCAAACTCCACACAGTGGAAGTGGAACCCTGGAGGTGTGCGGCAACAGTACTACCCTCACCCACCAAGAACTTTAATTTGCTCTCAATGCCATTTAATGAATAAATAATGAACAATGGGAACACATTTTTCAAATTATTGGTAGTGCCATATCTCAGCAGATGGGGGCAGCAAAGACACCTGTACTATAAATGATACACTAGTCCTTTACATGCTATTTATTGAGTGTGCGCATTTTTAAATAATTTAAGGTTTGCATTATAAAGACTTATTAGATTTTAGCTAGGTTAATTTCAATAATCTGCTTTGTTGCTTAGGAACATTAGATATTGGACAACCAAAAGTGCTCATCTTGTTAATTTCTCCTTCCTTAGTACTGGATCTCAATTCTGTACAGAACCAGTCAGGGTGAGTATGATGAGCTTTCAGCAAGCACCCGTGAGCTGTGCTTTGGGGCTGTGAAACAACTGAATGATGATGTCACAGAGGAGTGCTCTGACAAAGCTGGTTTCTGTCACCTGTTTGTCCATCTCACAATACATACAGGTCCCCATGCGTATCATTGTGGGTGGGAAATGTCACCACAGATGTCAGCGAGAAGCACCTTTTGAGCCTTTTCAAAACGTAGGGTCAATATTTCTGAGCTGTCACAGGTCTCTGAATAATTAACATACATATGGTGCTTTACGTTGCGGTACTTCTGTCCCCCCCACCAGCTTTGGAGAGATTGAGAGCATACGAGTTCTTCATGAACGCTTTTGTGCCTTTGTTAACTTCAGAAACTCCAACATGGCTGCCCTTGCAATGGAGAAGCTACAGGTAGGATTCTTGTAATGTGAAGTTTTCCTTGCTCGAGATGCTAATGATGCCACTGGTCAACTGGATCCAGTGGTGCTTGGCTGAATCTGTTTTATGCCCCCAGTAAGTTGTAGTTCAGTAACTTGTGTTTTATCGATCATTGATTCCAGGGAGTAGAGATTGAGGACACCAAGCTTGTGATTCGGTATCCAGATCGTCAGAGAGCTGTGCTCTCCTCAGGCACCGTCCCCCTATCATCCCAACTGACCTCAGCTGCTGGGTAATTCATTTGTGGTTGTACTTTGAGGACAAATTCCAAAGAAGACTTTGGAATATGACGGGATTAAATGGATTGATTCGATCTAACTCTGCATGATTAAATGTAGAGTCATTTCGTCTTGGTCTGTCCACAGATCCAGGCGCAAGGGTCCCATAAAGGGGGATGAGTGCTACTTCTGGAGGACCACCGGTTGCCACTTTGGGGACAAGTGCCGCTACAAGCACATCCCAGAGCAGCGTGGCCGGGACAAGAAGCCCTGGCAGCCATCATAGCCCATTTGCCCCACAAAAGGAAGGGAGAGGACTATAGATGAGCAGGACTGGGATCTCATACCACTTTGGTATAATGCCTGTTAAGACGAACTTCCTTTCTTATTACCTAAATTATTTTTGCACAGTTCCAGCTGGCTGCACAAGTTACATGTTGTCACAGAGTGCTAGTCACAGTTTGTGAAGACGATGGTACTGGAATGGATGTGGAGACTGTGGTTAATTGATAATTCCATACTTAATGGTCAAGTCGCTTACTAACGGTAGCAGTTCATATCTGCCATAGTTAGCTTAACCGGTATGCTTTTTGCTCAAATCCAACCAAAGGCAGTCGACAGAATGAGTAAGATGTCAAATCCATTTTCTAGTTAAATCCAACCTTCGTTTGTCCAGTATAGAAACACAGTGGCCCTAAATGCAAGATGCCTCCTTTCCTTTGACATTCGACCTGGAGGGAAGAAATGGATGTCACTGGTAGTCCCTTTGAATGACACCCTTCCCTGTGCCCCTATGTGTCCGTTTACTTTTTTTAAAACCATCTTTTACACTATGCTCCGTTTTACTATAGAGAAGGAGAAAACATTTTGAAGGAATGGTCCTTTTGCACTTCTTAGGCTCCACTTCCAGGTTCTCTTGAACAGTGGAAAGGGTCAACATTTTCTAAAAAACGCACACGATCTGTAGTGGCTTTTGACAGCATATCCTTTGTCAAGTCGTCTTTCTGCAGGAAGGATGGATTTGAAATGGTGCACTGTAGCTAAGCTATACAAACATACGAGTTTCCCTTCAGCATACTTGCCATTGGACTGTGTTCGAATGTCGATGAAGAGATGTCATCTGATTTGTATACTGGGTTTCTGTAGGTTTTATACGATATTGAAAATGTCTTTTTTCACCCTCTGTGAAAAGAGGGGTTATTACAGTATTTTATTTTATATGTGCGTCTTCATATTTTAGCTTGGGCTCTTGAATAGGTTTTGCAGCTAGGAGACTGCACTTAGGGGATTTGTTTTACATTATCACCCTTTGTAATTCTCAGGCCTAAATGCCCTTACATCCATCAACCACTAGATGTCAGGTTTTGCACCAGCAGGGATTCAACCTTTAGGTGTTAAACTGTTTACTGTCTTTGATTCTGCCAAGAATCGAGTCAGTTAAATGAGCTGACTTGTCTTGAACAAGTTTATCAATGTCAGGAGTTTACAAAGTTGGAAAATCTAGAGTGTGGCCTCAGGATTAAACACAGTCCAGGCTCACACTGAAGCATTTTGAATGTTAACTGACTTCAAAGTAGAAAGTTTGAATAGACCCTCATCTTTAGTCTGTTCAGTCTTTTACTGACTTGTTGTTTCTGTATCAGAACTCCGAAATTGATTGTTATTGATTACGCAAACATTTTTGTTGTCGTGTGTTCACATTCACTTCTGGGCTTTACAAAATTGACTTCGGAAGGATTGACTGAATCAGCTTCCTGGTTTTACTTTTTTACTAAATATTCCTTTATAAAGTTTCTGGGTTTTTAGGTTCTCAGGAAAAGGGAATATGTACCACTCGTTATATTTCCACCCTTGTTTATTTTCCTATAACAATATATTATTACTGTTCGGTTATGTGTCATGAAAATAACTACTACTATGCACAAGTTGCAGAGGACCATTGGGAGAATTTCATACACTATGACACAAGCACTTGCTGGCGTTGTGCTGTTTGAAAGGAGAGGAATGTACTGACTTCATGCTAATTGGTGTCCAGCTGACTGAGATGCTAATGAGTGGAGGATGGTTATATGGGAATCAAAGATGCAACTTGCCTTTGCTGTTCACACTCAGTCACTATGTATGTATTTTGCTGTGGTTTCCACAATCACAACATGGAGGGAGACAAAACTGGCATTAGGGTGACAAGATTAGTGTGATTGAGCTTATGTGCATGATGTTTCCTAATGCATTATTTGCAGCTTGTTGTTCTCTGGCATTAATTAGAAGGCCTCTTCACAGGAGGTAGCTGGATTGTTGTATGTGTGTGTTGATTTTTTTTTTTTTTTGGGGGGGGACCATAAGTGTCTTGGGGACCTTTCATATAAAGCATGTTGTCAGGTCCCATTCATCTTAATATCCTGTTTTTCTTGCCTTGCATGGTCCAGATCTCATGTGTTGTCTTTGAGAAACCTCAAACTGGAAGCTGTAATGGTCAGAAATGTTTTTTTTCTTAGTAGGCCCTTTGTATTAGTGATGCCTAATGTGTTCTCTGGATGGATACATGTCCTCTTTACATTGAGTACGGTCCGAAAGAGAGTGGGGTTCTGTAAAACTGCTAAGACATACACTGCAAAGCCTGGAATACTCTATTCTGTAGTCAAATCTTTTATTTTTTTTAAAAATCTTGAACTTTTTTTTTATCCCTTTTATTATATTGTACTGACCAAAAAGGAGAGTACTTGCATCTTATTGCGCAGTAATCATCTTAAACACTAAAATACCAAATAAGAATTTCTTTACCATCTGATTTAAAGGTCCAGTTTATTTATGGGTGAGGAAACTAAGCCAGTTCAAATGTAAAACTGAAGCTAGCAATTAAGTCAATGGGATCAAAACGTCAGACTTTTTTGTTTTACTTGGATACTAAATTTCATATTAGTCTTTGTCCTATTTCTACAGTTCTGCATTGCATGGCTTGTTAGGTGTCTCAGAGGTGCATATTGTGCCTTGAGAGGATGAAGAAGCCAGGACCTCCTATCAATGAATATAATTTAGAGCAGAGCTTCCCAACCTGGAGCTTGGGGACCCCCAGACAATATGTATTTTTGCTCCCTCCTCCTGCAAAAACGTGGACCGGCTGGGCATCCCCAAGGACCCGACTGGGAAACACTGGTTTAAAGGAACTGCTCATAAGATTTACATGCCCGGAAGTGTCTGTTCTGATGACTTGCACAGCTCTGGTGTTAACTCTGGTTTGCTGGGATGAAGAATTGCCACATCACTTCTTTTGGAATTGGGCTTTTTAAGTCATCTTTATTATTATTAATATTAAAGTTCCTGAGCAAATCGCTGCAGGTTCTCGTTCACCACAGTGCCTTTTTCATGAACAACAAAACCACACAATGGCTCCTTTAAGGTTCTACCTTATTACATTTTACTTCATTATTCCTACAGAGATACCGATTCTCAAAGTGCTTCAGGTTAATAATGAATCTGTCTCACTAAATGCTCTGTTTATTAAGTTAAAACTAACTTTTTTCCCAACTGACTTTTTGGGGTAAGGATTATTTTTTCTTTTCAAAGTTATTTATTTTTTTCCCATTATACACAATTTGTACCAAAGAGTGAAATAAAATGTTGTGTTTAGATTCTAACCTTGTCAGAGTTTTTCCTGTATTTTTATTTGATGAATGCAATGTATCAAGGACTAATGATTAGGCAGCAAGGTAGCAGTTCCTAGGAGATAATATTGTACTCTGGTGCTTTAAGGTATCCAGCTGAATATATTTTATCAGGAATGTGCCTTGGATAAATTCATATCCTAAACTAGAAAATTGCTTCACTTTGCTTCAGTGGAATTATCCATGTTTCAAAAAGAAGTGAAAACAAAAATAAACTTTTCCTTCTCAACACAAACTGCCAATTTCGGTTCTGGGGATATGGAAAGGTATACATTTATAAACCTCAGTTTCCAGTTTTGACTACCTGATTTAAAAAAAGGAGAGATGCATTTCCATACAAAGCATGTCTCTGTTTTTGTAAAACCACCACAAGTTGAACTAGAAAAACATCACACTTGAAACACCAAGAAATACACTAAACAAATGAATAGTGGGAAGTTCAGTGATTCAGCCTCCATGTGTGTGCGCTTTCAAGAATTAAATTTGCTCAATATCACAAAGTATAAATAGTAGAAATTGGAGATTTAAAAAAATCCTATGTTTTATTATATCTTAGAATAATGTAAAATGCATTGATCTGGCTCTATTTTTGGGAGAAAGTCATGGCTGCATCTATTATGAAGCACTTTAAACAAAAACAGGGAAGCTTCCACAGTTTCAAACACTGCTGTTATTGTTGGAAAACATACTTATTTTATGTCACCACAAACTGTGGGTACAGGCGAAGCTGGGGGATCCCAGTATGTGATTACAGACTTGTGCCGACGTTGTTCTCTTAAAGGGGCCGTCTTTCACATCACCCATCCTGATATGGTCATGATCATGGGATGGAGGTTGGTGACAAGTATACACGTTCCTCGTACTGCACAGACTTGTCAACAGTTCTTTGTCACGCATGCCTCATCATGGAGAGTGAGCTATTTAGTCTTTTTTTCTTTCATATCTGCTGAGTTTTTCATTCTCCTCTATACTGGAATGCTTTACAGGGTCACTATGGAGCAAGGAAACTTGGATGTGAGGTTTGAAGACAAACGGCCTGTGTGCCAGAGGATGTGAAAATAAAATGTATATTTGAATATAATTTCTCCATGAGGTTAGGTCTTTCATATATGGAAAAATACACTGCAAAGCTACTAGTTTATCTAGATTGTGAACTGGTTAACGTTTAAATCACACTTTGTCATATAACCAGAAGTAGTGGCGGTTGTGGTATGTTTAGCTGACCCCTTATTCATCCAGCGAGGTTTGTATTGATTAGAGCTCTCTGATGGAGCACTTACCCATCCTTTTGCAAATAAATAAAAACTAGAGCCAGACTTATACAAATAAGTAGCAGACAAATGGGTATTTTGCTGGGTGCTGTTTTCTTTAAAAACTCACAGAAAAATGACGATTTTTGGGTATGAATCTCATCCTAAGCAGCATAGCGCATGAAGCAGGGGTACACCCCGGATGGGATGCCAGTCCGTCATAAGGTAGACAGATACACACACACACAGACTCAGAACCACACACTATGGGCGATTTAGAAATGACTGATGAAGTGGTGTCACCAAATTAATGATGGTCAATCAAAAGAGATTGCTTTCTTCCATAGCTCCATCAAAACTACTGTTTTTGATGTAAATAATCAGATAATATATTTTACATCTCGGTTGCAAGTAGCAGGCAGTACAGTTGAAGATTAGGTATTCATCCCATGCAACAGGTGTATGACTAACACAAACTGGCACCCAACAGGAGGGATGTCTGATGATTCCCACCAAAAAAGAATACAAAAAGCTGCAACAGAGGCCACGGTTGACAATGAAGCACTCATAATGTAGCTGTGTGAGCTTTCGGACAAAGGCCAAAGAGAGAGGGAAGGAGAAAGGGACATTAGGAAGGAGGGAACAGAGAAGGGAGGGATTGGAGGAGAGGGCCAGTCTAGACCAAAGACCTCAGCTTATCACCCTCCTTCATTTTCTCCTTCTCTCCAAGGGAGCCACACGCAGAGACAAAGCTGGCTGTCAGGTGGGTGAGCCTCCCTCTTTAACTGTTGCCATGAAGATACTCTTTGCTTTACTCACCCATTCTGCTCATTTAGTAGTTTACTCCTACAGTAGTATACCACTGGATATGAAATTATTTCTTGTACTTGTCTGCTCACTATAATGATGATTTTGCATGTGTTAATTCTTTGTGGTCTACGCAAAACAGAGGATCTTGAAAATTTATTAGAGTTCTTTCAGGCTTTGGCAACTTCTGTGGTGATTTGAATTCAATTGGTTTAATTAGTTAAGAGGAAGATGACAGAATGAGTACTACAGCACAAATAGCAGCACTTGCAATGGAGGAATTAAAGTAGCAAAGTACTTAATTTACAGTTTTCTTGCTGATGTCATAAAATACAAAATAAGAAAATTTTTAAAAATCACGCAAAAATGCACGATTTTTAATGAATCCGACCAAATCCAAAAATATAAATTTCTAACAAGTAATTACGTTTTATCCGAATAAGAAGAGAGACTTTTATTTATAACACCGAAGTCGGATATATCCAAAGAGGACCGGCAGTTTTAAATTCGCTATCAGCTTGTGTGAGAACGAACAGCGTATAGGTATTACAGCGTGGACTGAGTCATATTTAACACAGGTTGCTTTAAGGTGTTTTGTATCGTTTTTCGTTTTCGCTTCGTTTTTTCTGTTAAAGCAACTGACTTATTTTTCACGTAGTTCAGTGTAACATTCTATCCACGCATCTACGTCAGAAATGCATTTAAATATATATATGAGCCAATATAGCAACAGCATCAAATTTATTTATAATGTGAAACTGATTATGAGCTTTTGAACATCATGAGCTTAAATACGTTTAATAAATTATACGTATTAGTAATTTCTGTACATTTTCTATTAGTGAATGTATTTTCTACTAGTTTACCGGCTAACGTTAATTTACCCTCGAGCTCATCCTAGTCCCTGAACTAGCGTTAGATGTTTCTCTCCAGTGGGGGTCACTGTTGGTCTCTGGGTAATCACAACGCAGACCAAATTACATACTGTATATACTTTATCTAATTAATGTTTCTCAAAAACTCTAAACCGTATCCCTTCATTTCGTATTATACATAATAGCCTACGAAATCGCAATCGCAATACCAGCTATCTCCAAAAAAATAATAAAAAAACACGGAAAGTTAAAATATAGAAAGAGGTGTGCAACAATTTCTGCGTAAAGGGTAATATGTACGCGAGAGCCTCTCGGGGAGATTTATCAACACCTGCACGTGTGAGTCTCGCGGGAAAACCGTTAGGACGTTAAACTGAATTGTATACGTAACCCCCCAATTAAGACCTGCCTAGCCTCCGAAAGAATAAGGCGCTTTGAAATAAACTGTGGGTTAAAAATATAACACAAACCTTTCTGTACAGAGATTTATGTGTCTGCCGTTCTCACCAGACCGTGGCTGTGATTTTCGCTTCACAACAGAAACGCCATGTTGGGCCTTGTCCTCTTCGTGAGCCATGTGCTGCTCCAACTGGCGCACGGACTCCCGCCGGCCTTCAAAGTACGCCTGGCCGGCAGTGGCGTCGGGAGGAAACCAAACCAAGGCCGCATCGAGGTCTTCTATAACAATGCATGGGGCACCATCTGCGACGATGAGGTTGACATCAAGCTGACCAACGTGATTTGCCGCGAGCTCGGCTTCCGGCGCGGGATCACGTGGGCGCACAGTGCCAAGTTCGGACAAGGGCGAGGTGAGCATCATTTCCTCTTAAAGTTTAAGCTTGCTCTATGTTAAATCCGATAATACAGGCTTTACTATATCTCAAAGAAAGTAATGATTTATTTGCACTAGCACATACCAGCTGTATGTTTTTATAACGTTTTTATCACATATAATTATAGTGTCTGAATTTGGGTCCTGTAAGAGGCATATTGCAAAAACTATATTGAACACTATTTATTGGTCTCTACAAAATCCCCCTTGACAGTCAGTTTTGCAGTAAAATGTAATTTGCTCAATTTTATGCATTTCTGGGGTAGCAAATTAACTCACCTTCCTAGTCCTTAAAGCAGAATAATGTACATAGACATAAGCTGGCCAAAATGCTTTTTTCAGAGGTATTTTATTAGCTTGGGTGCTGGTAAACCTCCTCCTTGATTTTTAAACAGCAAAGCAGGCCAATAACTTAGTGTCTCATTATAGGAATTTGCTGTGTCCCTTATCAGGTCCGATTTGGATGGACAATGTTCGCTGCACTGGCACAGAAACATCAATAGCGAACTGCCAGTTTAATGGCTGGGGAGTCAACGACTGCACGCATGCTGAGGACCTCGGTGTGATCTGCAGTCCCCAGAGGAGGTCTGGCCCCCCACACCGCAGGCCTGAGCCTGAACGTGTGAACCCAGCATCTTCACAGATAGAAGATGTGAACTCGCTGTCCCCTTGGACAGAGCATGCCTTTTCTCCTTCTCCACCATCCGAGCACTTCAATTCACTTTCCTCATGGTCAGAGAATGCTCAGTCATCATTTCCACGCTCTGAACAAGTGAACTCTCCTTGGATGGAGGATGCGTACACATCATCTCCACGATCGGAACGGATGAACTCTGCATCTCCGTGGTCAGGTAACGCCATCCGACGCGTGAGTCCTGCTCCCCCTGAGCCAGAACGCACGATCCTTCCCCCTCCACCAGAGCGCACGAGACAGACTCGACGGGGTCACGAGATCGCCCTTCTTCGGAACCAGAACTCGCCACGGCAAGGGCGCCGGCCAGCCCAACCCCGTGGACATGTGATCCATCTGCAGCGTAGCAATGGGAACACGGTCCCACGTGGGCACCAGATTCCCACAGGTCTTGGGAGTGCTGCTGCGCAGAGGCCCAGCAATGCAGTCACGCATGTAGAGGAGAATCGGCCTGAGCCAGTGAGCAGACATGCACCGGAGAGGTACACCAGCCAATATGATTCGGTAAGGAATCATAGGGTTCTGCTTCCGTTCCTACTGTGGGTTAAATGCTCACACAAGTTTCTTGCCCAGTCTGTGGTTTTAAAGTGGGATACTTTTAAATATTGTCAGGCCAGACCGACTAGCCACTAGACAGATATTCACACACTCATTGCATGTATACTGACGCATTAACTCATGCAAACATACATGCACACACCCACACTCCCAAGACTGATGATGCCATTTTTTGGAAAGAATCCCATTAGTTTATAGTTTGTTAGTTTGTGATTGTTGAACAATAAATTCTTTCATTTATCTTCCCTCATTTTTCTTGTATTCTTAAACTCACACCTGTAAATATACAATTGACTGTTTTTTTGTGGCTGGAGTGATTCCAGACAGAAGTTTTGTTTAAACCAGCAATTCTCAACCCATGGGTCACGACCCAAATTTAGGTTGCTGCAAGTTCTGAAAGGGTCGCGAGGCAGAGTTGGAAAATATAAGCAGTTTAAAATCAGCAAGCTCCTATGCTGATCCACAATCAGATTTCCCAGCCGCAGTCCTAGAATTAACTTATATAAATGGGTCTTTGATTGGCAGATGCTTAGTGCAAAGCTAGTGAACACTCAACCAATCCAAGAAGCCAAACCATAGATGAAATTCACTGGCAATTCCAATCAGATTTGTGCAATAGGCATTGATTGGCATAAATTACGGAGTGCATGGCGTGCTTCTTCATAGCGATAATATAAATCTATACTTGATATAGGGTCGCGATTGAACTGGCATGATAAAAATTGGGTCTCGGTGCAAAACGGTTGAGAAACACTGGTTTAAACAATCAAGATGCGGGGAAAGAAATCTGATCATGACTGTATGTACAAGTAATTGGAGTCGAGCAGCATGTTTATGTTGGGATTCAGATTTGTACCCGGCCTTGGCCTTGGGTTTCAGGGTATGCTGAGGGTGCAAAGTGAATTCTTTTGGTCTCCTGTGGTGACATGGCTTGTAAGTGAAAGTATCTGGCTGATGGCCAAATGAAAATGTCTGTCGGATTACTAGATGGAGATACAATATCGAAAGCCTTCTTTGACGGTTAGAGGATGTAGGTAAAACACAGTATTCTTTCCTGGTTTGCATTCCTGTAAGGTTTCATTCAGTCAATGGTGACAGTTTAAGGACGCAGCTTCAGTGGTGTTTAGGGAACCAGACCTGTGACTCCCATTAGGATGCATGGAGAAGTTCCAAGGAGATTTGTGCTGTGGAACCTTTTGGACAAGGCAGTTAATCTGAATTGCACCAATAAGAATTCAGATGTATTATGGTCAGAATAAATCATTTCATTTGGATGAAAGTGATCTATTAAAACACTGCATGACACTAACTGCATTTCAGTCAGAAGTCTGTAACGTCGCTGTTTGTCAGTTAAGGCCTAGCAGTGGTTGCATGCACGCAAAACATGGGCATGATGTTCACTTGATGTTCCGGGAACGATACCTTAGGAATATCGGAATACCACGGTGAATATCTGGTCATCTTCTTCCCCCTCAGGCCTCCACCCATGTGAATTTTGAAGAGGTACGTCTGCAGCCCGTCGTGCCAGCGACCAGAGGTTATGCGCTGGTTACAGAGGGTGCGGTGGAAGTGATGTACAATGGGAATTGGAGGTATGTTTGTGACCTCGGATGGGACCTCAATGCCGGTGGAGTAGTCTGCGGGATGCTGGGATTTCCTGCGGCGGAGCAGCACAACGTCAATATGTACAGGTAAGCCCCCTCCACTTACGGTTCATGAGGTGGATGCTAATGATGTTATTCATCTTTAAGCAGAATATGGTACGGCGTCAGAACCATATTTAAAAAGAAGTTATTTGTTCTGCTTGTTAGAATTGGCTGGTGCATTCGGGTTATTTGTGTGTCTGCCTTTCTGTGTTTTTGCATCTGTGCATGTATAAATGTGTGTGTATGTATGTCAGCATGAGTATCTTTGAGTGTCTGTATGTACATAAAGATGTGTCTGTGTGAACGTGACTGACACTGTCTTTGTAGATGTGTGTGTTTTTGTATAGAAATGTCTGTATGTCTGCATTAACTGCCGTGGCTATTCAGCCGTGGTGCAGCGACACATAGCCAGACGGCTATTTTTAATGGCCTGAGTGAAGCATTTGCAGTTTAAAATTAGCAGTGCCCCCCGCCTCCCCGTCCAGAAGGCCTTAATGGCACACTTATTTTACGTTTTATTTGGCCTCACTGGGTACATGCCTTTTCCTCTCTCCTTCTCTCCCTTTTTGACTTCCTTGCTTTTCTGCTCCAGCTTTCTTTCCTCTCTGTCAGACACTCAGTTCGATGCTGACACTTTGGCAAAAAATGACAATGTTCTGTGGATGAATAAAAATAATGCTGGTCTGGACACAGGTGATTTAAAATGGGGAAGTGGCTTGGCCACAACTGTTCGAGGATAGTGCTGAAATTCTTTATACAGATAGTCCCAAAATTAGGTCAGTGATATATTTTGAATACATTTTAAGGAGTTTATAAGTGGTATGTATCTCCTTTCATTTACATGCACTTTTCTTCTTGTCAGTACTTTTGATCAGTGAGTGCTAGACTGTCAAAAAATACTGATACATTAATAGTGACCTGTCAAGACCACTACCACAGACTCCCACCAGAAACATTAGCCAAAGGACATGGTTAAAACATGGTCCTAGACTGGAAAATTGCTTGTCCTTCTCGATCAAAATCATTAATGTTAGATGTATACTTTTGAAAAAGCATTATGGGTGTTTTCCAGATAGCCTTCCTTCTGTCTGAGTGTTGTAATGTCATACAATTACTTAATTTGCGCATCACGCTGTATCAGAGAGCACTGTTTGTCAACTGGACCAATGTACTGTTTTTCCTTGTGAAGGAACGGAAACTTTCACTGTTTGTACATCAGGAAACCACCGATATTGTCATATTTGGATTTCAATGTTGAACTTTCACTCTATAAAACTAAACTTTGACTTAAACTTTTCCATGATTTACCCCTTAAACCACTTCACTACCTCAGAAATTAATTATTGAGCACCAGTCGTCACATTGTGTCTGGAAGAAATGCATTTTTCATTCTTAAAAGCTGCAAGGATCTCTAGTCACAGAACAACAGATGTCGCCCGTAGGCAGCCATATCATTGGATTTCTTCTAAAGTTCACACTTTGATTATGAGGACATCAGGTTTAGGCAGTTCCTGTTATTTCACTTTGGAGTGAAAGCAGCACTCACAAGCACACCCTCACAATTACACGAATCGGGGCCTGCACTGCTTAAACTGCACCATTTAAACTTCCTTTGCTTTAGGCATAACTAGGATTAGAACAGCCTAGAATGAGGTGAAGATTGTCAGTTTTGCATCACGACTAGCGTTCATGTGGAGACGCACATTCTTCTGTTCCGCCTTCTAAGCATGGGCTGCTGTTGCGCCCAATCAGGTCTCTTGAATAGTCTATACATCATGTAATTATATGTTTAAGGAAGACTGAGGCCTTAGAAGCTTTTTTTTTGTGTTTTTGAACAACGCCCTGCAGTGTCAGCAAGTCTCACCAGAGGTGATTAAAATACTCTCTTCTCTGTTCGAGTCACTGTGTTTTTTTTTACATCTAGCTTACTTTAAAGCAAAATATGAGTAGATGACTTTATTTTGAATATGTTCATTTTAGGAGGCACGTATAATGTTTGATAGGTCACTTTTTTGAGCCAAGAACCATGCTCTCCTGAATAGTAGTTTTGAAGACGTGTCATTCTCAGATTTAAATTGGTGGACACAAGCCTTTGTTTGTGCTAGCACACCTTTTGATCTCTGCAGCAAAGGTCAGATCTGATTCAAAAGTAATTGCCCAAGTCATCTCAGAAAGTTGAAATAAGAAGGAATGTGATGCACAATCGTGTTTGTGGATGTTGACCACATGAACTGTGATTGTTGTAGTGCATTTTAGAAGTGACTTTTGCATAATCAAATGCGCTTAGGTAAACTGGCAATTGCATCCTAAGTTGGTAAAATTGATTCTCATTGGTGTCATTGACCCTGAAACATCTGTCACCACAGGAAGCAAGTGTGAAAGATGTTAGTGTCACTGAGGCAACTTTCTTCTGCTATAGAAAATGCCTTTGCCATATGAGGTATCCCCTTGATGGTTTCGTGGTCTAGTGCTGACATATTTGGAGTTTGGCTGTGTGAGGACCTAACTTGGGATACACTGATCCCATAGTTGCTTGTCTTTGAAAGTTACCCATCTGTGAGTGTTATACATTTGGTTCATAGAGGTGTCAGGCATGAAAAAGATTTTGCCGTTGAAGAAAGTGAAAGCACTTGGTTCTGCGATGCAGGAATGTTTTTCTCGGAATTCCTCCAGTGACTTTCCTTGCGGTAACTTGCCACTGAAGTTGATAATTAGCTGCTGTAAGTTAAGCGGCTGTTTGTCAGCATAAGTGTGATGCTCAGTGTGAAACTGTCTAGGTGCTGGGGGTGGGGTGGGGTGGGGGGAGGGTCATCCATTTCATTTTGAAAAGCCAGTGGTTCATTGGTCTGGGGGTCATGTAGCAAAAATACTATTCAACATAGTATTTTTATGTTGATAACCTGATGAAGGTGAAAATGCATCAGGGTTGCTCTTTAAAAAAAATAACAGCTGTATTTTATCTGCATACAGAGTACGACTGATGTCTCGCAGTCTCACTGAGCCTGAGTAGTACACAGACTGAAAGATCACTTGCTACCTGGAACATCCCTCTATTTGACAGCAGTCCGCTGGTTTGCAGACAAGTTCTTGCTCTCTTTAGGTCTGTGAGCCCTATTTGTTTGTCTTGGACATCCGTATTAGTGTCTTGAAATGTAGGGTAGTTGCAATAACACCACAGGTTTCAGACAAATATGTGTTTATTAGCTCTTTTTCTGATCCAAAAAAATGCTGTCTGGGCTCGGCCATGACAGTACCACTGCAGTGCCACGTGGCAGACGTATTAAAGCGAGTCATTCCCAAGACCAGCGGCTAAATTCAGCTCCTCCATTCATATTAATGAACCGCAGAAGCTCCAAGTCTAACTGTGGAGTTTCTTCTCGGGTTCCCTCAAGGGAGGAGGAACCAAGCGAAGGCCAAGACAGCCTCGAGCTTAAGAAGTGTGTGGCATTCACTGCTATGGCCGGCCCACATTAACACGTGCCGTGGATTCCTGAGACACCAGATGGAGGAAATAAGAGGCAGAGGGCCCTTTAATCGGATGTATTTGGCAGTTGCGTTAGTCCTTGAATGGCAGACGTCCACCGTGGTCAATAAAACTACTTCCTCCTTCGTAAACTGGCTTATTTTTTGGAGTCTGTGTTTTAGTTCATACACCTTAGTCAAAGGTAGAGCATCAACGGCATGCCCCGAATCCTGGCTCTTTCAGATTCGGTAGCATTTTTTAATTTTTACATTTTTGTGGAACACTTTGGCTCAACAGGTCGTTGTCGGCCTTGGCCCTGTTGGCTTGTGAGCGAGTCGGATTCTAGGGTGCCATTTGGAAGGAAACAAGTGCTTTACCTCTTTGAAATATACATTAATATAGTCATAATATAGTATTCTTACCTCGCTACAAACATTAGTTCAAGTAGCAGGTGTTTTTTTTACATTCAGTTTAGATCTACCTGAGCAGCAGTAGGTACTTGAAAATTCATGAAAATCACGTGACTCTTATTAAAGCATAAATTTTACATCTGCTGCGGTTCCCCGATCCTGTTTTTTCTAATTTCAAATGTTCTGTCTTGGATAAAAGCATTAGCCAAGCGAATGGCTGAAAATGCCTTTTCTACGTGTAGTAAGAGGTACAGCAGTGTCCGCCTTGCTTGGTCGAGGTGCTTCTCCATCCGCAGGTGATGTTTGTATGATTTACATCTCGATGGTGATTCCAAAAGTGTTCACTTTGGCTAGACAGCTTCCCTAAATGTGAGGCAGAAATATCCCGGGGGTGGCCATGCATGGAGAGCCCGACTTGGCTCCACAAAGGGAACATTGAGACCTTCAGCTGCTCCTGGTTTGTGGCCACAGAGCCGCACCAACATTTTTGCTTATTTTGCATCCCGAATGATTTATCGGCTGTTTATTTGCCAGCTGTCTGTAACGTGGCAAACACTGAGTGGAGGGATGCCAGTCATATGCCACCTGCGTTGAGGTACAAGACTGACATTTTACTGCATGCACTTGTACTGTGTAGCATTTTGGATATTTTCTGAGGTCACGCAGTTGTTTATGTACCTCAGTCAAGGTGTGCTTTGATGGGATTTAGAGATGATTTTAAAGTCCACACAGGCTGTACTTGGGATTTGCACACTTACAGACATAACTTTCGCCTTGGTGAATCATTTTGATCACTTTTCCAACTTTCCAATTACCAAGAAGTAATTACGGTTTTCACCAAACGGTTTTTCTTGTATTCTTAATTTTTCTTAATTTTTCACAATAAAAATGTTATTTGCTTCTTTGTTGTGTACAAATAAAACTGATTGATTGTCAGTGTTTATTATATTACAAGTTAATGACTTTATATCTGTTTTTTAAGTCTCATGGACTGTTATAAATTATTTGTGTATCTGACACTTGAATTCAGGATTAATCACTGAAGTACTGTACGCTGGTCTGTTTCGGTTTAAGCTGTGCCTCACGACCTGCAGCCCAATAAACTACCCATCCAAACTGCTGTCTGTTTTCACAGTAGATGTTAGTCAAAGTCCAAAGCCAATGAACAACCTTTAAATGAGGTTGGGTGATCTTGAGGAAATGTGGTTGGTAAATGTGTGGCAGTCAGGACTTGTTTCCCCTTGTCCAGTGATGATATATCAGTTATGTTCACATTGGCAGAGCTAGTGACTTTGCCTGAATCAATGCAATGACCTTCCCTATTTGTGTATTTCAGGAAGGCATGGGACACGATGATGGCCGATCCATCTGACAGGTGAGGATGAAGAACTGTCTTAAAAATATATGACAGAGAGGATATGACAGCTGAACTTTTTTTGAAGAAGGAATCCAAAGATGAAATATAATTTAGTGCTATTATCATGACTGTTAGTTTAATTCAAAGATTGCTTCACTTAAAGTCTAGGTAAATTAATGCAAGATGTTACTGAAGACATTTTTATCCATAGCTTGCAACTCTGTCCTTTATTTCACAGTTAAATATGTACTATTCTTTAAAGGTAATACCTTACATCCACAGTGTTTTGTCCTCAAGTCCAATACCTTGGCTGCTTCTTGCAGGCTGGGCTCCCAGGTCAGCAAGAAGACCTCCTGGGTTGAGAAGGTGCTCTGTCAGGGCACAGAGAGCAGCCTGGAGCAGTGTCGTGCACTGCTGTCCATCCCCCACAGCGAGGTTCCCTGCGAAGGCGGCATGTTCGCCGTGGCTCGCTGTGTCCCAGGGACCCAGTTTGCCAGTTTGGCCACCACTTATGACAGCACATCATGGGTGCCCCACATCAATCAGGTGAGTGCTTATCAGCCTCCTCCTATGACAGCGCATCATGGGTGCCCCACACCAATCAGGTGAGTGCTTACTGGCCTCCTTTTTGCTTTGTCTGTTATCCTCAGTCAGAATGACCAGTACTGGTGTATCCGTCTGGATGGACTATTTCCAGAATAGTACATTGCAATTAGGCAGTTTAAAAACCATTGCAAAACTTTAAAAAGCGTGCTGAACAGAACCCTCTGTTCTTTGGGATTAAATGCATGGAAAGTTGGACCACACATGTAAAGCACATTTTTACAGGGTTTCAAAGGCTCAAAATATGTTTTAAGAAAAAAAAAACTACTTTCTTGCCACTTCAATTTTAACTCCAGTTTCAGGCATCTTTGGTGTATGTGTTTCGACTTGAACCGAACCTGTGAAATAAGATGTGAATTTAAAGGACTTTTATTACAGGAATCACAATACATACATAAAATTGACAAATTGTCGCACTGCCTTTTAAAGAATCCGATTTGTAGTTATCATGCAGCTATGACTGAGGAAGCACACTTTACTTGGCACAGATTTTTGGCCAGTGAATTAGCGGATGACTGTTATGCTTGAATTTGTTGCTCTGTGTGAGTTACACTGGGTATATGTGTGTTTTCTGTTTGCGATGTTCCAGGGTGTGGTGCGACTGAAGGCCGGGCCCCGTCTGGGTGAGGGGCGCGTGGAGGTTCTGCGCGAGGGGAAGTGGGGCACAGTGTGCGACCACCTGTGGGACCTGCCAGATGCCAGCGTGGTGTGCCGGGAGCTTGGGTTTGGCACTGCGCGCCAGGCACTCAACAGAGCACATCTGGGCCAAGGTTAGGCGCTCCTGCTGTGTGCTCCTGTGTCACTGCTGCCAGGGATTCACCCTGATTTCTTGCTTTCCATATTGATAGTGAGGTATTTCCTTGGAGTCGTCACTGCGGGTTGGAGTGGCAGTGAGTTGGAAGGTGTACATATACCGTAATGGTTGCGTATTTTCAGTTTCTGATTTTGCGAGTTTGGCATTTTGTCATTTGTGTTTCATTTATAGCAAAAATTCAGCAGAAGCCCTGGGAGCCATTAGTGGTGTCTGGTTGCTATAGCAATGAGAGATTACATTGATAACCAAGATCAGTGTTTGACTGATTCTTATGAGAAGTGACTAAATCTTCTGGACATGATTAAATATTATCTGTCCAGCTCAATGAATAGTCTTTGTGTAGTAAAACCAGGCTTGAGGGTGAAAAATATCCCTACAAGACATTGGACAGGTAAAAAAAAAACAATTATTTTGATATTCAGAGCCACCAGATGTGAAAAAAGACTCATCAGTGATTGGCTGGTCATGCTTTGGCAAAGCCTGCCATTGGTCCCCTCTCAGCCCTTAATCCTCAGCAAAGGAAAGCAAATCCCCATGGTAGGTCATGCTCAGTGGGAACCGCTGATGTGTCAAATTTTGTATTTCGCATTACAGCACCAAGCTTTCACATGGAAAGACTATGTGGAACAATTTGTGTAGATGAAGCCCATTCTTTGGTCTGATTTCTGATCCCTATATAATCATTCGTGAGTGAATCTCATCAGAGATGTTATCTGTACTGTAAACAGACATTCTTACCCAGACGGTATGTGCAGCAGGAAGTGAATAGTATCAGGCTATGTCTGCTTAGTTATACTTTACTATAGGAGTTAAGAAGTGAGTAATCATATACTGTTTAACCATAAAGTTATTTTGGATGGTTGTCCGTGGGTGTAAACAGTTTCCATTGATGCGGTTTTCATTTATGTAGTAAAGTACATGATTGAAGTCCCAATAAGTCCTGAGAAATTTTTCTGTAGTTACTTGGCACTTTTCTCAGAACCAGCCGTAATTGCTGGAACCTGGTGGTTTTTCCTGTGGATCTGGACGGGCTTGGGACGTATCGCCATCTTTGCCCAAAAAGCCTTTGTTTGGTTTAGCTGATGAACCCCTCAAGAAAAGTGAAAGGAGCCAAGATCCTGTGTATGTGTTAAGAAATGTAACTTTTTCCTGTGGCAATGCAGGCCGCTAAACATACAGCAGTTAGCGAAGGCACTTATTAGCCTGTAGATCAAAGGCAGTTGTAGCGAACACATGTGCTGCGCTGATCTGGATCTTGATAATGAGCTTGGTTCTGTCGATGCCTGGTTTATTTAACAGATGCTTTTGATCTCAGCCATGTTCAAGTGAGGATTAGAGAACACTGCATTTAGAAATGCCTTCACTATGGGTGCTGTGTGACAGCATCGACAGACTGGAATGCACTTCCCCACAGTTTAAACAGTTTGTAAATAAAACGTACTATTATTAAAAGGGTGAGACTCAATTAGCCTAACTGCCATTCTGAGGATTGTGGGGGGAGAGCCATACGACATGGGTGTCCTCTTCCTTATTCCTGCTGCAAGGTCAGAGGTTATTGAAGGTTGTTAGAGTCTACTGGTACTGTAGCTAGGTAAGGGAAACATATGTCCAATTTAACTTAGGAAAATCTACTGTTCATTTATTTTAACTCCATTATAGATCAGCACAAGGTCCATCAGAAAACTGCACCCAAACATTAAGCTCTCCCACCAGCTATTATTTTTTCATTTGCAGAGAGCTAAAATAACTTGCTGAGATGATCCATTATGTCCTCAGATGCCAAAAAAATTACAGGGGGCAGAGAGCTGCCATTTTCATCTAAAGGCCTTGGTTTCCGAGTCTCGGTATCATTCTGTCAGTGACGTAACAACCCCCTGCCTGTGGCTCCTCACTGCACATTAAAACTATCAAGGCTTGGTCGGTTTAGACCAGCGATCCTCTCTGCAGCCACTCCTAATGCATTTAGGTTAACATTGTCTGTCAGTGGGTTATATCAATAACACAACTGACAAGCAGGGAAGAATCAGAGGACGAGCTTCCCAGGGATTCTCTGTCTCTCTGGGACTTTCCCCGTCTCTCTGAGGCTTTCTGCTTCTTTTCTTCTGTGGGCCGCAGATCTTCTTCCCGGACTTTTACCTCTGGATCCACCCCCCTGTGGAGCCGTGGTCTCCACTGCATTCCACTTAATGACAAGTGTCTTTGGCCCTAGAAGTCGAAGCCAATCCCGTCATTGTCTGTAAAAGCTGGAAACAGTTGGCATGTCTGTCTAAAAAATTTAGAACTGCCTTCATGTTGACGCGATGTGATTGGTCTCCCAGTGCAGACTTCCCATCGACCCCTTCCCTCGTCCCTCCATTATCTGAGAGTTATACATGTTGAGATATGTTTCAAAGTGAATTCTCAATCAACACATTTATATCTTAAGACATTTCAATTTATAGTGTATTTACAGTACAAGTCATTATACATGCATTATTATGTACAGTCAGCCGTTCTACAATGCGTAATATCATACCTCGAATCAGTTCTAATTCATATATTGGTACCCAAGTCCAATACAATGTGTAATTGCATTTGTATTTGTGAGATTTTTAGTCTGAGAGGCACTATACAAACTACAAAGCCATATAGTCTTTAGCAAACACTACTTGCATACAAAAACAGCTATATGAATGAATGATAGTGATGTCCAATTCATGAACAAATCATTCTAGGCAATCAACAAGTTAGTGGGTTCAGTGTGTTCAGTTGAAGCAGTTACTAGGCAATTCTTATGAGACTCATAAGACCCATAGGAGATGTTTACGATATAATTTATTAATGTATTATCATTATTTCTTATTAGAAAAAAGGATACAGTTACATTTTTGGCTACTGGTACCACTGTTTTTATAATTTTATTAATTTAGTTTGGCGTAAGTTAATAGGTTTTGGAGTTGCATTCCCCTAACCTTATTTTCCCCAATGGATATTTGTATTTTAATACGCAGTTTTAGTGAACACAAGGTTTTTCAGGAATGCATTAATCTCGTTGTAGCAGGACTGACTGTATAAATGTAATTATCTTGTTCAGTGCATTACCAGTAGTCTAGTGCTGTATATTTTGGATGACTATGGTGGTTCAGTGTGTGTGTTGAGTTTGCATGGTCTCCCTGTTTCGCTTGGGTTTCCTCCTGGTATTCTAGTTTCCTTCTGCAGTTCAAAAAACATGCGGTTTGGTGAATTGGTGACTCCAAATAGCCCATAGTGAATGATCCCCCTTGCTTCCTGGAATCTAGGCTCTTCCCTGCCTGGTATTGCATAAGTGGTTGGAAAATGCATGCATATTCGCACTGTGAACACAATATTGAATGTGTCATCATTGATGCTAGTCATACTATTATTTCACTTTATCTTGCTCATTTGACTTCCTCTGCCGGCCCCTGGAAGATGGGCTCCCCCTTTGAGTCTAGGTCCTCCCAGGTTTCTTCCTTTTAGGGAGCTTTTCCTTGCCACTGTCGCCTCTGGCTTGCTCTCTGGGGGCTTTGGCCAGGGATAATGTAATGCGCTTTGAGACAATGTAATGTTGTGAAAATGCTCTATACAAATACAAATTAATTGAATTGAACCGAATGTATGTTTTAAGGAGAAATGAAGACTCTACAGAGTAAATAGAGTTAAAAATGAAAAAGAATTTTGTTTTAGAGTTTTTTGTTTTATTCTGTCTGGAAAATTAAAGCATGCTGTGAACTGTTGATGCACCGGTCCTTAATTGGTAAGGACTGCCTAAGTGCTGTTTAATCAAAGGAGGAATAAGCATGAGAGGCTGAAATAAGTTTCTTAATGAAGGATTCTGTGCCGTTCTGATTGATGCAGATGAAGTGCTTTAGGAACCATTTGAGTGAGTTAAGTGTAAAATGGGTAGCTGTGTAAATCGGGCAGAAAGGGGCCTGTCAAGGCACCAAGCTGATGGGCTGCACTCCCCCTGCAGGGACGGGCCCCATACACATGAACTCTGTGCAGTGCACGGGCACCGAGAAGTCCATCTTGCAGTGCCAGCACCAAGAAGCTACCTACTGGACCTGTAAACACTCCCAGGATGCAGCGGTCCGCTGCAATGTGCCCAAGACGGGCCTGGAGAGCACGGTGAGGCCCATGCCTAGTGTCACCATCATCAGCCATGAAAAAGATCCACTGGGTGTTACAATGTTGTCTTGCTTTTTGCTCTCTTTCTTTCTTCTTTCATTACCTTGTGCGCTTCAAATATGGCTCCACCCCCTTTGGCCCTGACTCCGCCCCTTTGGTCCTGACCCCGCCCCCTTTGGTCCTGACTCCACCCCTGACCTACGCTGCTGCCCCACCCAGGTGCGCCTCGTGGGTGGCCGGGAGCCTGCTGAGGGCCGTGTGGAGGTGTTGCTGGACGTGGGCGGTAGGCGGCGCTGGGGGGCCATCTGCAGCGAGAACTGGGGCCTCACTGAAGCCATGGTGGTGTGCCGGCAGCTGGGCTTTGGCTTTGCGTCACGCGCTCATCAGGTGAGCGGAGTGTCATGGCCGCCACAGCGTGGGCATGTGGGAGTGCTGAATGTAAACAGAAAACCTGCTATTGTGAGAAAGCCTTTGAATATGGCATGTAAATCACTTTGGATTAGGCAAGTGCTGAGCGAGGTCAATGCAAATACTATTAAATACCGAGGACAGCCTTAAAAAGGGCTGTGAAATAGTGTAAAATTAACATTATTATGCTAAATCAGGTGCAAAACATTTACTTAAGTTGCATGATTCAGTTCTTTTTCCACGTGTCTACATACTATAAGGCAGATGAATGTGGACTGAGATGAAATTCCATCCCATTAGGTCCCAAAGGACAGGATAATGAGGTTGTTGAGGTGCTGGGCACATTTTAAGACATAGTGTGTTAATTGATCACACTTGTCACACATGGTATAAAGCCTTTGTGTTTAGGCTGCACATAAAACTAAAAAAAATTCAGTTTCAAGGTGATTATTTTCACTTAATTCATATGCCCAGAAGTATAGATATGAGCAGCATTTAAATACTCCTTACTAATAGTAATTTAGTAAGCCTGCATTTGGCCTAAAGTACATCATTATTGCTGCATATATTTAAAAATGTATTCCCTAAAGTCTCATTTCTCCCCAGTCCTCTACATTTGCATCAAGTGTTTCACAGGTTCACTTAGTGTTCATATTTTGGAAGGCTGTTCTTCTGTGCAGTTATTTCCCAAACGGGTAATTGCAGGCTTTACAAGAAAGAACGCGTGACCACTGCAGAAGAAAGAGTCGGAAGAAAAACAAACTTAAAATAGGTTTTCGTTGCTTGGATTGGCCAAAAAATGTTGGTGTTTTAATTTTTCTTTTCAGATGCTCGTGGCAAGTACATATGGAAAAAGACGCGCTAAGGACTTCTAATGACTGCGGTTATTAGTGCTGCTGGTTGCTAACCTTCAGTGGGATTAGCTGTGGGCGTCGCTAATGACACCCTCTTTATGTTAAATGACATTAAAAACACAACTGCTGCTTGTGCTGTTGATGTCATGTGATGCTAAGGGTATCTGGCCACGGTCGGTGGAGTAAGCAACAAGTTAGCCCGGTGTTGGCACTGGAGTTACATTAGCAAGGCGTTAACCTTGGCTTCTGGATTACTGCTGTGCAGGAGACCTGGTTCTGGCCCGGGGACCCCAGTGCCAGTGACGTGGTTCTAAGCGGGGCGCACTGCACGGGGTCCGAGCTGTCCATCCAGCAGTGCCGCAGGAACAGCCAGGAGTACTGCCCTCGGGGTGGTGGGACAAGGGCAGCGGGCGTCAGCTGCGTGGAGAGTGAGTAGCCCCAGCAGCATCAGGCCCATCTCCTCATACCTCCACAACAGAAACACGCCTCTACACTCACCCCCTCATTCAGGAGGACATTCAGGGTAACCCAAAGACCCTGTCAGTACCGAGCTTTTATTATAGTACGTCTTATTCATTTAGCAGACATTGTACGTTATTTTAGAGAAAGTAGCGTCAGTCTGTCCTTGGAGCAATTGGGGATTAAGGGCCTTGCTCAAAGGCCAAACGGTGAAACTACTCTGTTGATCCTGGGATTTGAACCGGCAACCTTCCAGTGACAGGCATCCTAACCATGGAGCTACACACCACCATTGTATGGAATATAACTGCCATAGATTGCCCACAGTTGTGGTTATATTTGTTGTTTGTCATGTATCGATGATAATGTTCATGATAATGATGATGATGATAAGTTCCCCCCCACCCCCGTAGCGGCCCCTGACCTGGTGATAGACGCCCAGCTCGTGCAGGAGACAGCTTATCTGGAGGACCGGCCTTTGCACCTGCTCACCTGTGCCCACGAGGAGAACTGCCTGTCCTCCTCTGCCCACCGCATGCAGTGGCCCTACGGGCACCGCCGCCTGCTGCGCTTCTCCTCCCGCATCCACAACTTGGGCCGCGCCGACTTCCGCCCCCGCGCCTCCCGGGAGGCCTGGGTCTGGCACCAGTGCCACAGGTGGGCATGGTGGTGCTGCGAGGACCAGTACCCTCTGCTTATTGCCATCAGTCTAACCACGCTTATCAAAAGTGTCCTCTCAGATCCTGTCCACCACACAACCACCCCCACGCATGTTTCTGTCAGTAAGAAAGATGTTGGTGCAAGCGGCAAGATTATAACACTAATTGTTTGTTTGTGCAGCAGCGTAACTGTTAGTTTTCATTTAAGATGAACTGCAGTTCACACAGGATTGTTTCTATTGGTGGAAGCATTTAGGAACAAACATGACACAGAAGAAACCCTTTGCATGACCACAAGTTAAACTCTGTATGAGACCCCGCAAAAATGTGACGCGATAATCAAAATGTCAAAATATAAATGAGTCTGGTTAGTGGCGATGGCCGCTGATGGGGAGCCCGATTTCTCTGTTTACAGACATTACCACAGCATCGAGGTGTTTACACACTATGACCTCCTGACCCTCAACGGCAGTAGAATCGCAGAGGGCCACAAAGCCAGCTTCTGTTTGGAGGACACCACCTGTCCCGACGGCACGTCATTATCTCTGCTTTTATCATCACTCATCCTTTATAGTAGCTTCTTACATTACCTGTAAACAGCCACAGGTGTGATTCTGAAGAAGCTATGATGGTTTGATGTGCAGGACTGCAGAAACGCTACTCCTGCTATAATATGGGTGACCAGGGCGTGACGGCAGGCTGCTGGGACACGTACCGCCACGACATCGACTGCCAGTGGGTCGACATCACGGACGTCAGGCCGGGGAACTACATCTTCCAGGTCAGAGTTCATGCAGGTCACTGGGCGTCCGTTCTCGTCGACGTCAGACCATGAGCTAAATAAGTCACTTCCCAAGTAGGAGTTGACTACACAGCAGAAGACACAACAAAGCAATGCTGTTTGTTTACCTGGTATTTATTCTTCATTTCACCTCACTTTGAAGAGTGTGATTTATTGCACAGGAAATTATCTGCTTTGTGTCTGGAAGCAGAGGCCATTCTAAAGCCACTGGACTGGCAGAAAGGACGCACAGGGACCCAGAGATTCACAGCCAAGGTGCAGGCTGTAATTAAAGAAGGGAAAGTCTGCCTGAATCATTTGCATTCATTAAGGCGTAGACCCTTCTGGAGAAAAAAACCAGCACATGGAAAGTGTGTTTACAGCCATTGTGTCATTTTCACCACTGAGAAGATGCTTAAGAAGTACAGTACTGAAATTGGTAAAATCATCTTTATCACCCCACAAATACCGCGGTACCTCCCTCCTGTTCTTTCTCCTCCTATACCAACCGTAGTTCTGCTCTATTTTTATTATCCCCTGTCATTTTTCTACACCGTCTCAAAAATATATATAATTAGTATAACATTAACTGCAGAGATGCCTCCCTCTGATGCTGCCCTTAATGAAATCTGTCATTTTGCTGAATCTTTGTTAACTGTTTCATGGCAACCATGTTGGGGGGGGGGGGCACACTATATAAAAGTTTATTGTATTTAATTGAATTTGAAAGCTGGCTTAATTTTGTTAGCTATGTCACTTTGCATGATGGAGCCGTCTGTTTTCTCTCTGCCGGATAATGCTTTAAGAAAACGGCTGCTGTGTAACAAGCCTTGATTTAAAGGCTTTTGGGGAGAATGCAGGACAGTTCCCCAGGTTTCCTGTTCTGCTGCTGTGCTGTCTGTGTGGCACATGTCACCAGGGCCTGCATGTGGCAGGATCCAGTATGACCTAATAAAACAGGCCCCAAACCATGGATACATGGAAAACTGCTTCGGAGATACAGATGCAGCATTTTAATTTAAAAGGGAGTCGGCTGACTTTACAGCGGACAGCAGTGTTACAGTATATCCATGACAACAGACTCAGAGTTACCTCCTTATCCTTACATAATTAGAAAAGCTACTGTAATTAGCCCCTGCCCTCCTTGGGCAGGGGGGCTGTTGGTGTGTTACTGGGCTATGCTATTGTCAGTTCTGATTGTGGGGCGTCTCAGACAGCGACCATTTAGTGTGCTATATAGCGAACCTCACTGAATTACAGGGCGTAACTAAAACCTAAAGAGGCCATTTGGCGGGATGTAGAGCCCATGACTCAGTGCGCTGATGTCGCCCTTTACACAGCAGGACCTCTTTCCACCTACACTACGGGCCCCTAGTAAAATAAGCTTTTCTGCAACATTCATCTTTCTTTTGTTCTCGATGAGATTTTTTTTTCCTATGATTTTTTTTGGGGATGAATGCTCACATGATTTTTAATGTATTTCCTGCCTGAATGCTGTAAAACCTTTTTAAATTACTCAAGCATCTGCAGTATTTTCATTTTTAAGTCCTTAAGTTTTCCATGCGTTTTATTTTAGGGATGAACTTATAAAGAATACCATCCATAAATGTCTACTGAAGAGCCTGGGGAGGGCTCATATTTTCCTGACATATGTGAAGTGTTGAGGATTATACCGCTGACAGAGGTCTCTCTATCCTCCCCGGCTTTCCGCAGGTGGAGGTTAATCCCTCGCTGGACATGGCAGAATCTGACTTTGTGAACAACGTGATGCGCTGCCGTTGCCGATACGACGGACAGAGAGTCTTTCTGTACAGCTGTCACACCAGTACGTGCCGGATGCATACCCCCTCGCATCTCACACACACACACACACACACACACACACACAGAAGCATGCATGCACGCATGAACTTGCTGCTCTGAAGATCAGTCCTGGCTCCGTGGAGGCAGCAGTGATGACACAGTGCTTAAGGTTTAATCATTTTATTTGTTCATTCTGATCACAATGTCATCCACCTGTCCAGCTCAGACTGCAGGCTCCCCTGATTCCGGTCTCTCGTCCTCTCTCTCTCCTCTAAGCCCCCCTCCCCCACACGATCCCGGCCGTGATAACCTGTCTGCTTACTGTTACCTTTCATCCGGAGTATTCTGTCTGCCACATACTGATGTTATTTTCTAGGTCACTGATATGCTCACACTGAAATCACTATTTCTGCCCCCACCAGGAGATGCCTACAGCCCCGAGTCTGAGGACCTCTTCGAGCACGAAGCTCAGATCTCCAATAACTTCATCTAATCTGGGCAGAGCTGAAAGCTGGGGGGCAGGGGTGGGGGGGTGATGGCAGGGTCATATGGTAGGTAGGTAACAATGTCAGAAAAGTTACAGAAGGGCATGGACTTCTATACTGTCAGCTTACGGGAGCTATACTGAGTGGCTCATGCCTTGGGGACAACTGGATCTATGGGGATTCCAGTGCCAAAACAACATTCGGAATGGGACCTTAATGGCAGTTGCAGGGACAGATGTCATCATTGTAACATTTTAATTTAAAACAGCTCATAAGTTAAAAGTTTGGGTCTGATTAAAGTCTACTCATTTTTTCTTAAATGTTACTTCTAAACATTACTCTAAGGTATTTTTAAATTATTCAGGAACTATTACAGAGGTTATTTGAAAAAAACATTTTTAATATATGGCAGTGGACTTGAAACTTGCTGTCCTTGTTGGAAGAATCCTCTTTAGGTAAATGTGTAATGTCTGTAGAAATAGATCAGGTTGCTTTTTGTTTTGTCTTTTGGAAGATCTGTGATATCCATCTTGAAACTGGTGCTTTTTTTCTTGGAATTCATTACAGTATTCTTTGTGTTTTTAATTATAAATACATATTTTTTTGTCAGATTAGGAATAAGTTTTAAATAAATGTACTGTTGCATTTTGTATTGTCATGTACATGTTTTAAGTGTTTTGTTTTTTTTAAAAAAAAAAACACAAAACAAGTCATTGTCTCCTGCTATGTTTTGAGGGTGCTGTCATACCATATAAAATTACAGACGACTCACATGAAATAATGCACTTTTCCTGTTAGTCCTTGGAATTTAAACAGTTATGTTCGCAAAACTTGTCACCAAAATGATAACCAACAATGGCAGTGAAAATATACCATTTTCTGAAGTGTCCACTGGGATATAGCACTTACGTCAGCATGACGACGCTTTAGTGAAAATGTAATTTTCTTTGTTCTACTGGTGATATAAAGATAATTAAAACTTTTGTATATTTTGTGTACAGTTTGCTTACATGTGACTCACAAAGAAAAAGAGAAATAAAATCTGACTGTGTGTATTACTGTTAAATGAAGCACCCAACCAAAGAACAAATTTTAAATAAATGCTATTAATATTAGTGAAAGAAATGTTAAAGATGTTAAATTTAAGTACTAACAACCGGTACTGGAAACAGCGAGCAGTATTTCGGTACTGTGTGGAAAACCCACTTAAAAGCATGAAATGAGTTTGCATGGGCACCCATGAGGACGTGGTGGTCTCTCCTGGAGCGAGGGGCCGGGCGGAATGGAAACGCCACTTCGGCTGCTCGGCCTAAACCACTTTAACAGACGTTATGGGTGAGGAGATACCACAGACTGGAAAGCCGGCTTTGATGGGAACGCTTCACCTAAAAGGAACGGCAACGGTATCATTTCATGTCTATTTTAGACTGTCTGTCTGACTTTTTCTTTCCTGTTTATTGTTTCGTGACGCCCAGTTACCATCACTCTGTAACCAAGAGACCGAACAGAGAGATTCCATCAATTACAATCACATTTGTTCTTTCGATATTATGACAGCGTCAGTGCGATTCACCCTGCTGGTGAGCTAAATTGCTCTCTGGTAGGCCTTTATATGCTCTGTCTTAATCCATTACCTCATTTAATTCTTAATGGGAATCTTAGAGGTTAAAGGAGTTTAACACTGCCCACAACCCCTGATTAACTCTCCCTCAAGTGAACAACCAAAAGCTCGGTTTAGTACTGCTCTTGTTGGAAGCCCTAATTCAATTAAGATATATAAACGCTCTTCCTTCAACAGAGCAAAACGAGAATTATATTCAGATTGCCTGAAAAAGTTACAGGTCAAGCATGCTTTCTATTATCCGGCAAAATGGAATACAAGATGCTTGCAATGGCATTAAAATAAAATATTGCACAATGAAATGGGAACATCTGATGACAGTGGGGGAAAATACTGACTTCCCGTACATACTAGCAATACTTATGTCTAGGTTGTTTGTAAAGGAGTTAGTCGGTATACATGGGATAAACGTGTTTTTTTTTTTTTAAAAAAAAAAAGCGCTGGATCAATTTCGGGAAAAGAACTACCTCAAATTAGCCTGAAGTGGGGTCTAAACTGCCCGGAAAGGCCAAGACAGGCACTGACCGCAGGCACTGGAGCTCAAATGGACTTGTCTTTCACTGCAATGCCTAACGTGCTCGTTGGTAACAGCGGTGACTGAACACTTACAGACATGAACGCTGCAGCTCTTCACCATTATAGGGAGGGACTATGTCAGGGCAGAAATAACCTACCAAACAACCTGAGCGGGGGAAAAAAAAAATCAAGCAAATAGAAAACCGTGTAATTTTGTGCACGTATGTAACGGCTGACTTTAACATGCACATCTGTTAATGTAACCTTGCAGAACATCTGCCAGAACAATACAGTGACGTACTGCGGCATCTTTAACATTCGCACTTAACGAAACGTTTACTTCACTTCATCCGAAAGCCCGTAACTTGCTCCAGACACATGCACACGTGTATTGCTGGGAGATTGCTCTTCAAGATCATCTGTGTCCTCGAAAAACCTGTTAAAAAACAGAGCAAACCTAGCTAACAACATAAAAAGAAATTTATCAGTCTTTATCAGACGCCGATTTTGTCTTTAGTTAGATTGGTTAGGCATTTTACAGTGCAACTACGATATTACAAAATTTAAGACGGGCAACAGGGATACAACGGCAAACCAATGATCAAAGAAAATTAGAATTAATGAAGACTCTTTGTGGCACTAAGCAACATCCATCTAACCGAGGGAGTGGAACAAGCAAAAATAGCTCAAGAGTACGCTCACATCCGGCTGAAAACACTTTTAGACACGCAGGGTTTCTTGCAGGCGTATACACAAATGCAATCAAGCACTTAAGCAAACGTGAAACGCGGCATTGCCTTCAAAGTAAGCATTCATTACTCAGACAAGCAGTCCTGGGCTACGTCGGCAAAATTTAGCCAACCGATTTATTTTGAGAAACCCACAATTTTGCTTTAAAGCACCAAAGATTCTCAGCACGTGGACTTGATTCCTGTTTAAAATTTGGTAACCTAAACCTTCTTTAGGTCTTCCTAAATAGCAAACACAACTAAACCACCTCCTGGAACCATAAAACCTTTCAGACACCACAATGTGCTCTAAAATGACAGGAAAGGATCTTTTTCTGACCTTTAATTATAAGTTTTTCGAACATTTATTGCTAGATCCCATGACACTGTATACATTTAATAGACTTTAGTTTTTATACAAAAATCTGTGGTGATCAAAATTGTATGTGCTCACGGAGTTATTTAGCTGTCACACAAGCAATGAAACAGACTCCTGTGCCAGTGAGTGTCTGGAAGCTTCTGTGGGGATAGGAGATGGTCATCTACACCAGTAGCTGTTTAGTGCTGCTACTGAGAGATGCGTTACACAAAGGATAGACAAGATGTCACGTGGACGAGAGAACATGGCAACTGACCCTCTTCCGGTCGAGGGTTGGTGGATAGCGGTAACTTAAAGACCAGGCGAAAAACTGAGGGAAGGTAGGGAAAAAAGATTACAAATTTTCATTTTTTTTGTTATGGAAATGCACCAACTGCATCAATTGGAAGGTGTACGTGTTAACAATATATTTAAAACACTAATTATTTCAGTCATTTAAGCAGGCGCTCAATGCAGTCCCGGCAAAAATAATTTGAGTTAAAAAGACCAAAGTCTTTTCATCATGTCAAAAAATACGTACTGGTGTTGCATCTTTCCAGGAAACCTGGACAGGTGAGCAGATGGCAGTCTGACTGGTTGGTGAGCTCCAAAATTCCAAACCCTATAAAACGACTGTCGTTTTCGAACCCTGAACCCACTGATATTTGGAATTGATTTCTGTCCTGGGATGAGTCTGTTCAACGACAGGCAGTATATAGATGATCCAAGTCTCTGGCAAGAGGGCATGACCTGACGATGTAGAGACTAGGGTGTCGCTCAGGATTTTGACACACATTAAGCAGAAACTTCTTAAAACCATTTATTTCATGACAGAAGAGTAAGTGCACCAACTTCACAGTAGATGAAAGGGGTAAAAAAAAAAATCAAAAGGTAGCCAAAAATATTAGAAACAAAAAATATTTGATGTTCCTTTAAAACAAGCCGGTCACATGGTTCACACTGACAGCTGTACAATCCCACACCTCAAGCACTCAAATGTAGAGATAATGAAAATTAAGGGCTTATACCCAGATAATCATAGACCACAGCCAGGAAGGAGCTGGTGAGCTTTTGGGGTTCACCTAGGCAGCATTGTTATGCTAACACCGGTTGGCTTAAATTCACTAACTGTTTGACTGTCGTGCTGATAGGAATGCTAACATGGCCTTTGAAAATCATAAAAAATAAATAACCTGCTATTTTTGGAAACATAGCAACAAAGTTTTGGATACATTTTCTCAATTAAAAAAACTATGTACATACCCAATATTTTTAATGAACAGCTTATTAGCTTAATGGGTCATAATTAATGAAAATTTCTCCATTGACTGGCTTTGATTGCATTTCTAAAAATGCCGCCTTCGTGGCATTGTCTGGCTACATTCTATTAAAAAAGCCTCCGTGTTTCTTTGCGACCGGGTCATGTGACCTCAGCGGGGCATGTGATCATGGCGGGTCATGTGACCGCAGCGGGGCCTGCTCCAAATGTCTATATAAGCTCTAAGTGCCAGCCCTCTGCTTCGGCATGTGAGTTGCATGCGCACAAATGCACCCCTTCATGGTCACACGTGTGTTTGGGGGGTGGGTGAGGGATTCACTGGCAGTTTATAAGGAATTGGGGGGGGGGGGGCATCTTCATTCTCATCCATCCATCTTGGTTCACTTCCCTTCCCAGGCGTCATCTCTCTGCTTTGCTGCCAAGCGCTTTTGCTCTAAGAATAAATCGACAAAATGCAACCATGAAACCACAGCCGGGGGACTCATTCATGCCGGTGACACGTTCCCCATTTCAGGGTCCTCCTGCACTCTCCCACGCTGCCCAATACAGAGTCTTTCAGCCGTACTCTTGGGACACGATCCTTAACCGGAACGGTGGCAGTAAATATATCCAGTCCTATTAACGCTTTGTGTGTGACAGTCACAGCAGGTCTCTTAGTCCTGCTTTATTGCTTCAGAAAGTATCCATGATCCAAACAAGTGGTTCCTATAAGCAAAGCTGCAATTGGTGGAAAAGGGATCTAAGCTCCCATAAAAACCACCATAATTTTGTTTGGTGCTAAAAACGGCTCAGATCTCTTTAACAGGAATGAGTTTATATCACAGAGCAGCAGGCCACCGAGTCAATGACTATTTTGAAATGTGCTGCCATCTAGTGGTGGGTGCTAAACAGACGGCCAGATCAAAATGTGACGGTATTAGTAGGCGCTCCGGAGACAAAGGGGAGAACTTCCTACTCTGAAAAACCTTCCACCATGCCCTCGTAAGAGCCCCCCTGCTTAATGAGGCAACCTTATTTTTGGAAGTCATATATTTTGAGAAGACCCAACCATAATTGGGAAACGTCCCAGGTTTAGAAGACCCATCATGAAAAGTGAAAAGTTCGGCGATGTCACCTCGTGCCTCCTGCAGCTTCTTCTTCTCCACCTCGCGCTCTTCCTTGGTCTGCCTGCTCTTCACACCTAAGGCGCTGGTCACCAGTCGACGGGCAAGAGCGGCACTGGTCTGTGGTCGCTCCTTGGCAGGTAGGACGTCATCTGGGAAGGGGGTAGACACAGGAATGCATTGGGTCATAATAAGTGATACACAAAATGACGCTTCATGAACCATTAGCTGTATTTTTTCACCCCACTAGATGGTGCTCTTCGGTTGCTTTGGGGCATGCTCTTTGTGCTTTGGGCTTTTGGGCATGCTCTTTTTTGAACAGAGAGCACCACCTAATGGAGTCAAAAAGTACAGCAAATGGTTCATGGGGTGCTATTTTGTCCATAGCCAGTCCTACTAAAAGAGTGCAGAAGATGTTACTCAAAAAGAACGATGGTCATAGAGGAGGGGAGGCTGGCAGGCCGCCCTGGGGCACCTGAGCACTGGCGGGCCTTGGCCTTGCTAGCAGCGGATGCCTGCGACAGGGATCGCAGCTTCACCATCGGGTGCTTCGACCTCAGGGCCTCTTTGGCTGGGGGGCACAGAATCAGGAGACGGTGTGAGCTTGACATGGGAGCAGCACCTTCATACATGAGAGAATTCAACAGAACCCAGGCTGCTCCCAAAATCGAGAAGGCTAACAAAGTATTGAGAATAACCCAGGAGATAATCTGGGAAAGTCTTGCTGGAAAAACAAACCAGAACCAACTAACGAGAAGGCAGCAGCGACAGTCTTTGAACATGCATTAATTACGGATACTTTATAAACCATAAAAATCTCAAAAGGCTTGGTTTAAAGGTCAATGTGTTAAACAAGAGGCTTAAGAGGTATGATGGAAGCCAGGGTCGTCTTTGTTTTCTGTCAGACTTCGACAGAAAAACCTGCTGAAATGACACCAGTGGCCCGAGTTTGTCAGACTGACCTGTTATTGGACTGGAGAACAGTGCCAAGGCGTGCCTGTCATCCACCCACAGGATGTCAATGCCTCTCTGCCTATCGAGGAGAAGGAAAGGCCATGTGACCATGACATCATCACACCTGACATGCTGTCATAGAGATTGATTCCAAAACAAGGACGCACTGGTAGGGCTGGAAGGCACGCATCAGATCCTCCACCTTGAACTCGACAGGGAAGTCGTATATCTCCAGGATGTGGGACAGCTCGTCTTCAAAGAGGTCCACCTCCCGCTCCACGGTGTAGTTGTAGTAGTCGAACTGTGGATCCTGGATGGATTTCTTCTTCTTCCCCTCCGTCAGTGAGATCTGGGGGAACGACGGAGAGAGACGGAGGGAAGCATGCAGCGCTGACAAACGGCAGAAGTGTGAGCTGGTCGGGGGCAACTTAGCCACAAACGGCTAACGCCGCGTCCCCTCTCAGACAGCAGGGAAGATCGGTGTCAAAGGCGGGTTCAGCTTGGCATCCATAAGCGGCACTGCAAACTGGCGCAGAACAGAGTGGCTTCCTGTGATTTATGTCGTTGGCCGTTGATGTGCCCAGCTTCATCCAGAATCACCGAAGCATTCGGTTCTTTTGTTTTCTTACTACCTTACTAAGCAGGGCAACAACACGGATATTACACCCCATAGGAGGTGGTCGGATCAGCGCTGCACTGGGTATTGCTAAGGGAAAACCCTTCGGAAAACTGTCCCCTCGACGAAAAGCAAGAGCGAAATTAAACGAGTGAGGAAACAAGGTTGACCAACAAGATGGAGGCTTGTGCTTGTTGAGAGGTACACCTCCCCCAAAAGTAGGATCTTTCTGCATGCTACCTGCTTCCTTGTGCAGCTTGACTGCGACAGGAGCTGTGATGTGTGTTTGGGGCCTGAGGAGCCCATGCATTTACCTCCTCGATCAGGTGCGGGTCCAGACAGTCGCCGTCGTCGTTGAACAGGGTGTCCCAGCTCTCTCCCTCTTCCTCAGGTGTGCCTGCCCCCCCTTGGGGTGCTTCTGCCTCTGCTGTGTTCTGCTGGAACTCCCCGTCCAGCTCCGTGGTGCCGTTGCAGTCGGGGCCCGCGGTTTCCCCAGCCTCACAGCCTCCTTCCTCGGCCGGGTTCACTGGCTTCTTTTTCTTCTTGTGCTTGTCCCCATAGCGGGGCCTCCGGGGCTTGGGGGCCTTTTGAGTGGGCGGGCCTTCCTTCCCTGGCCCCCCCTTCACCTGCCTGGAGCACACCGGGGCCTTTACCTCCCCATTCTCCATCACTGCCCCCCAGCTTGGTTCACACCTGGCAGAAACACACATATTGTGTTAAGGGGGAATGCCCAATAAACAGATAAAAAGTAAAATTCAAGGAATATATCTAAACAGTCCCAAAATGATCCTAGACCGATGACCTAGCACAGGACTGAAACAATGATTTTGCATCTTTGTGACCTTGCAGTAGTCTGCTTCGTGCTGATAACAGATCAGTGTCAGTATGAACCTCATACTGACCATGCAAACACAATTCTCACCAATTCATTGTTACTGAAAATCGTATGCATTTACTCTCCAATTCACCCAAAATCTAAGGTGTTATGAAATAATAATATAATACTTAACATAATACTAACGGTAATACTATTAACGGACCAAATGCAATTACTTAAAAATGCATACGCAGCATGTAGTGAATAATGCAAAGACCTAATAACATAATTTAGAAAGTACCACTGTTTTGATTATCAGTTTGTTGTACAATCTCGTTTTACTATAATCATTATAACCATTATCGATCGTGGAATCCCTACGGCACGGACTGGTATAACCACAGTAACACCGTTTACTGGACAAGGTAACTTAATCCTGGGATCTCCAAGGTGTACAAAAATACCAAACTAAACAAAACTAACGCTGTTTCTCTATTTCGCTGGCCGTACATGCCGTGACACACATGAGGTCACTACAGGTCTGATTACCGTTTAAATTTGTAAACTCCGCTAAACGCTTGAATTTACAAACAGCTGGTTTTCAACTGACCGTCAAAACTTCACAAACGCCTCGAATATCACGACTCTCGTCGGCCTGTTTACCTGTATCTCTTCGGTTTTAACTCTCCAAAACCAGCAAATTTCCACGGAACCCACCACCGGATGTTTGGAACATCTATTTCCGCATGACGTCACATAACTTCCTGGAGCCAGGAGGTGTTGGGAATTGTAGTGTGCCAGAATTTCAGAAAATAAGTCGAATTTCTTCAAAGGGTGAAACAAATTCTTTATGTATAAACTATAATATTGTAACACATACAATGCTTTACATTTTGTCTTGCCATAACACTGCCCCCCATTCTTTGTGAGCGCATTTCGAATTATTATACTGAATTTTTATGCATTACCATCACTGTTTCTTTTCACCAATCTTCATACCACTGGTCAGTTTATATGGCTGGGAAATTAACCCACATATTTACAGACTCTTAGGAAAAGATACCAAGCCTCCTGTTCTGAGTGGGAATGTAGCTGAGAGATGGCCCTGGAGGTTGTCACCTGGAACAACAAGATGGGTTAGGACAAGGTTTCCCAGCCTGGTGCTCGGGGATCAACAGACGGTCCACTTTTTTGTTTCTTCCCACAACCCTGCCAGACAGTCCATATTTTTGCTCCCTCCTAACTCTGCCTGGGGGGTCTCTGAAGACCGGGTTGGGAAACACTGGGTTAGGAGGATGGATAGTTGGATGATGAAGGAAATCCTACAAATTACCAGAGGAACTTAATTGGTGGCGACATTTCTTTTGCATGGGCTTAGGCTGCCAAGTAACAGAGAGCACACTTTCTGCAGACACACCTGAGAAGTTGTTTACTAGAATTGCAATACTTACAGAGAATTATTTCTTGGCTATGCATTCATAACTGATGAACCATAACATGCTGGTGAGGTTCTTCCTGAAGGAAAACCTCAAAATGGCTTCTCAGCCTCCCAGTCATATGCCAGTTGTTTACTTTGATTGAATATGTGGATGATTTTCTCTCTTGGGGTTGTTGGTATGAATAAATCAACATGACTCTCCTGAAGAAGCCATATGTTCGGAATTAGGAGTGAATGAGGTGCTCAAGGGATTCTATAACTCCATCTTGTGGAAGTTTGCCCCACTCTCTGTTTTGCTGAGCTTTCAAACTATCTGGACCTCCACCTTTTCATATCCTAATGATCTGTCAAAAGGTTCCTGTGAATAAATCCCGTGAGCACTGGTATGGTTTATAACAAATGGTTCCTGCAGAACCCAGAACCAAAAAACTCTGCTTTATCCAACTGGAAACACGGAAAAACCTGAATACCCTAGACTCCTATTAACTTGACGAGTTCCAGTGCATGTACACTGGAAGAGCTTTCAGTGCTGCCCTGTAGTTAAAAATGTATGCATTCTTTGACTGAATGTGAATACAGTCTGATATTTAGTGAAAACATTATCCAGAAAAACTATCATACTTCTATTCAGGAAATGGTCCATAACCTTTGTTCCTTTGCAAGCAGAATTCGCCAGGTAGGTGGCTGTGGGCAAACCCAAGCCTGCAAAACCAAGAGCCAGATGTTCACACAACTGGCACCTGAAAAGCTTGACCAAATTTCTCTGGCTGAAGAGAAAACCAAGAAAAGTCTGGCCTTCTTCCCAGGGAAAATGCTGGCAGTTTAAATCCCCATCAGCATTCTTCAGTTTGGTTGGGCCAGTGTTGCCTTGGAGACAAACGCACCTCCTGCCAGCTCTGCCTCAGAGAACCTGTCCTACGGAGCCAGTCCTACAGAGCCTGTCCTACGGAGCCTGTCCTACAGAGCCTGTCCTACGGAGCCTGTCCTAC